TTTAAAAATTTTTTTGAGAATTTATTTTACTGTAAGAATTTAGTTCCCTTATTTCATTTCTATCTAATATCACCTCCCAAATTTAATCATTCAGCTGTTTGGGTAACAGAACGCCTTGAAAGTTTTCCTAAATTTACAAAAGCATATAACTTATATGAAAACAACTGTGGATGCAATTCTGAAATACTGTTCTTTTAGAACTCAAATGACTTAAAAAAAAAACAGAAAAGAGGAGGAGACATACCATTTTTAAAAATTTTTTTATATTTTATATTTAATGACTATAAATATATTTATATATTTATATATAAATATATGTATATATTTTTATATTTTATATTTAATAAATATACAAGTGTTATTCAAATTACTTGTCCAGTCTCCATAAATATTTGCCCATTAACAGTTTTCTCTTAAAATGACAATTCATTATATACTCTCTACACAATAGCTTTACCCTAAAGATTGAAAAGGGTGTGAAGCCATCTTCAGAGCGTCTGACAGAGTCGTGTTTGGTATGTCTTTCTCTGCAATGCCTTGTGCCAATCTGAGAATTGGGGGGAGGGGGGAAGGTCTGTGAAACCAGAGTAACTAGATGTAAATGTGCATCTTTGCTTCTCTGCATTCTAGCGTTGTGACCCTGAGCAAGGACCTCTCCCAGTCATCACACCTGTCCAGTGAGGATTTTAACACAGAGGAGTCACATCTTACTTAGATGCTAGGTTCTTAAGGGGAAAATTTATTCATAGTCAAAATCACTCTTTAATTCTTTAGGTCATCATTAACTCACCAGAACACCAGCAACGGGTAGCTCCAAAGCCAAGCACATCCTTTATTTTTCCTTGCATTTCGGTATGGTTTCCCTTTCTCTCATTGAAAGGGCCTGAAGGATTGCCTGGATGGCTCAGTTGGTTTGGCAGCTGACTCTTGGTTTTGACTCAGATCATGATCCCAGGTTTGTGGGATCTAGCCCTGTGCTGCGCTCAGCGGGGAGTCTGCTTCTCTCCCTCTCCCACTGCTCACATACGCTCTCTCTCTCTCTCTCTCTCTCAAATAAAGAAATAAATCTTAAAAAAAAAAAAAAAGAAGGTCCAGAATGTCCAGTGGGAGAGGCTAGAAGGACAGGTCTCTGTTTCTTTCTGTCTTCTTCTCCCTCTCCTTCCCCCTCCATTCCTCCTATCTCCTTCTCTCTCCTTCCCTCTATCCTCTCCCCCTCTCCCTATTCTCTAGACCTACTATGGTCGAATCATAGTGAGATAGATGAGTATACTAACCTAACTCCTGATTCCTACTTCATTGTGATACATTTTACCCTATAAATATTTATCCATACTAAATACTGAAAGTACTCTACATCAGAAACTACTAGTACATTGTAGGTTAATTAATTGAATTTAAATTTAAAAAATGCAAATATAAAAAAGCTTCCTTTTAGAAAAATGTAAAAATAAATAAAAATAAAAAGTCTCCTTTAAAAATAAATAAATAAATACTGGGTAATATTATTTTATCTGTTACTACTAGCCCTGTGCATCTTTTCTATATTTGTTAATACAATAATTATTAGTGATGGTCAAAACCACATGGCTATTAATTTTCATTTTTGAAAACTTAAAAAATAACTCATATCCATGTTTTTTATAACTTGCTTTTATCATGGTACTCTGTAATGTGCTCCTCTGTAACACATCAGTTTTCCCTCATCATGTTTCCAATTAAAAGTGTTACTTTAAATACTACTCTTATAGTAGATTTAAAAATTGTGGTATAAATATAAATATTTATTCTTAGTCATACTAAATGATCCTTAGTCACACGAGAGTATTTTAAGATGATTGATAGACAACATAAAAAATTTTATTCTTGGAGTTGAAAGTAAAGAAACACAAAAGATTTTGTTTGGTTAGGGATTACTTGACTTGGAGTTGTTAGCAGTTATGGAAATAATCATCTCTTAACCTCATTTTGTGAACTTCTGCCCATGATTTTGGAACACATCCAAAACTATTAAAGATGTTTTGTAGCTAACTTTAAAACAATTGTTGACCTCAACTAGCAGACCTCCATGATGATTTTTTGTTTGTTTTCTTTTTTAACTCACTCTGGAAAGGTGAACAAAAAATAAAAATCAGTCAAGAAAGCAGCCAGCAGAGACTCTTCCCAACATCTGCTAGTGAAATGTTGGTATAAAATCCAACATTTTGTTTTCATAAAGTCATTGGGTTCAAGTTAAAAAAATACACACACACATACAACTGAATTCCAAGACCAGAAAGGCTAAAAACAAGAAAGAAATCTTATAATGTATAATAATTTTTTTTAAGATTCAGAACTTTCTGTTTAAGTAAGTTCATCATAGGTGACCACACATTGTAAGTGGTTTTACTTGATTAAAAAGCAAACCTTGAAGTAAATAGAACCAGAGGAAGCAGCATAGCTAGAAAACACTTAAAATCACAGAAATAAATATTCAGGTACCAAGAAATAGTATCTATTTATTAATTTACTAAAACCAATCCTCTTTATAATTGCTTTGCGTTCATAGTTTTGTCAATTCAGCGAATCCTCTCTTTTTTGGTGTTTGGGACATTTTTTTTTTTCTATTCAAACATATACATATGAAAGTTCTGAAGAAATTAGTAAAATCCCTGAGTTAACAGCCGTTTCTTACATAGAACTTTTAAAGTGATTTTTGAAAATTTAAGAAGTTTTTCTTTAAGGGTGTTTTAGCAAGTAAGAAACTGGAACTGAGAAAAGGGGAAAATATTTGGACCCAGTCCTAAATCCTCCAATGTCAGATTGGACTAACATTCGCCTCAAATGAAAGACGACCCAAGCCGGCCGAGGAAAATAAACACTCTCAGTAGGTAGTGCAGGGTTTGAAAAGTTCAAAGATATGATGATGTGGAGGGAACAAAGATTATCTTTTTCTATTTTGCCCAGATTTTCCCCTCAACTGGTTTCTAGGGAATATGAGTCTTCATTGTTCTGTCTAAAAAAATCAACGAAAAGAGTTCAAAAATCACGAGAAATGCCTGTCACAATCAGAACTTCTCTGAGGGCACTAATTTACACATTGCTAAAGGAGAAAAGAGGCTTTTTTCAAAGTGTGCTTTCAAAGTTTCACAGGATAATGATTTGGAATCGGAATCATCAGATGAACGTTCCGCGATCATGCCATTTAAATGTAGGTGTGACACAGAATGAACGCAGGAGGTCCTGGCTTTCCTGGCTTGGCGAGCTTAGTGTCTTCCCTCCCTCTGGCTCTCTGAAGATCTGGACCTCTCTACGCTCTACAAAATAAAACTGGGGAAGGAGAGGAGGAACTGGAAAAGAAAGGCATATGGGGTTAGGGTGGGGTTCAGAGGATTATGGGACATAGTCTGGTATGTGGCAGAGTATATGGAAAAGGGAAAAGGGGGATACTTAAAAAGTTGGCTTGGACCCATTCATAATTTTTTTTTTTAATACACAAGCAAAAGTTGTATTTTGAAATCACTCTTTGATGACCTGACATCTCTCTAAGACTGGGCCACGTAGGTCCCTTCTTTAGATGCACAGATTTACAGTTGTCAATAAAAGCAATCAGCCCAGTTCTACATTCTTCCCAATAGACACCAGCTTTGCTGATTTGTCTAGTGAATAGGTTTGCAATTTAGAGATATATAACCTGAATAGTTGAACAGTGTTAGACGGGAGAACTAGACACTTAAGGCCTTTAGGTTTCTAAGAGCTTTCATTTCATTCACAACTATATTTGCTGTCCAGGCTTCTAAGGGAGAGAAAAAGAGAAGAAAAGTTATCCCAAATAGCATGTATTCCTAAGGACCAATGAAGTCTTAGCACAGTGTCATAATTTACATGTCAGTGTCCCTACAGATGAATAAATCAAAGATGGTGTGCTATGTGAAACACTTTTCTCTCCTTCCCAGAAGTGTAATATATTATTTTATACCCAAGAATTTCTGATCTCGCAGGAACTTTTTTTGAAGTCCTTGAACTCATGGTTTTTTGGTCCTTCTTTAGTCTCTTTATTTCTATTCCTGGTTCTTCAAAGCAGCCTCACTGTTAAGTATAAAGCAGTGGTTTTCCACCAAGTGTGATTTCCCCACCCCCACCCCCTGGGGGCGTTTGGGAAGGTCTGGAAACATTTTTGGTTGTCATGACTTGGGTTTGCCATAGGGGAGATGGAGGTTCTATGCGCACGTAGTGGGCGGAAGCAAGGGATACAACAAAACGTCCTGCCATACCCCGGACAGCCCCCCACAACAAAGAATGAGCTGGTTCCAACTGTTAATAGTGTCAAGATGGAGGAACCTCAACTACAGCCTCCCTGCTGAGATTACCATGACGTGCAACTTCTCCAGTTACCACCGCCCAGCTTCCATCTTCCCATTGTGCTTCAGAGCCAGTCCTTAGCCTTCATTATAACCACCAATTTCTCACCATATCCCATCTTCATTAGATCAGTGCTAGCGCATACTGGGCTAAATTAAGGACAAAGCCACCTGGGGCTCCTGAGGGGCTCAGTCCATTGCACATTGTTGGACTCTTGGCTTCAGCTCAGGTCATGATCTCGGGGTCCTGGTATCTAGCCCAGACTCAGGCTCTGCACTCAGCGGGGAGTCTGCTTCTCTGCCTCTCCCTCTGCCCCTCCCTCTGCTCATACTTTCTCTAAAGCAAATAAATATATCTTAAAAAAAAAAAAAAGCCTTTCACAGTCAGGCTTGTCAGATTGTGTTGTCTGTCCTGGGGCCCTGAGAGATCCATGGGTTTTGCTTTGGGAAAGGAGGGCAGAAAACCACAATACAGAAAATGGAAGAGACATAGAGGGTTTGACTTGGTTTTTCTTATTTTGATACTTTAAAACTTATGGGTTATGCATGTGTGAAACAGTCAGCAAACTTTAGGCCAGTTTTCCTTAATGTTGCATTCCATTCAAACATTTGCAAGTGGTCTTTGGTGCTATTTTAATTATTCTATCTGTTTTAATCTTTCAGATCATAAGGCCTATGGATTCTCTGCCCCAAAAGACCATCAAGTGGTCACAGCAATAGAATATCAAGGTAGAGTAACTTATGCTTCTCACGGACTGTGTTGTTCAAATGACTCACAAGTATGACGTGTGTGATGTTATCTATTTGTTGGAGTATCTGCCTTCCCTTGCACTAATTCTTCCTTCCGAAATGCTGCTCTGTGCTGGAGAACTTTCTCCACCGCCTCAGTGGAAATTTTGGACATTCAGTGAAAGACCCGATGTACAAAGAAGGCCTCTAATTGCGTATATTATCTGCAGCAAAGCAGATCTAATTTGTGAAACTGGTAAATGGAGGTCCTGCAAAGTTTCCGCCAGCTGGATATGGTAAATGGAAATTAATGCTGCAAACCCCACTCTACTTCATGTTGTTTTTTTTGGGGGGAGCGGGGGAGTAAAGAGTCTGTTTCCTTTTTTTTTTTTTTAAGATTTTATTTATTTATTTGACAGAGATCGAGAGAGAGACAGAACACAAGCAGGGGAGTGGGAGAGGGAGAAGCAGGCTCCCTGCTGAGAAAGGAGCCTGCTGCAGGTCTCCATCCCACGACCCTGGGATCATGCCCTGAGCCAAAGGCAGACGCTTAACTGACTAAGCCACCCAGGCACCACTCTACTTCATGTTTTTAAGATGACATTAATATAGCCTATTTTGGGGTGCCATCTTGTTATGTATTTAACTTTTTAAATATATTTACAGTAGGGAGTTGGTGTTTAATGGGTATAACATTTCATTTCTGAAAGATGAAAAAGTTCTAGAGATTGGTTGCCTAACAATGTGAATACGTAACACTAAATTATTAAAAATCATGAAGATGGTAAAAGTTAAAAAGTGTTAAGATGATAAATGTTAAGATACATATATTTAACCACAATTTAAAAAAAATTTTAAAACCTCTAATACCCAAGGAAAACTTTATAAGGGCTTTTATAAGTTTGCTTCAAATATTGACCACCTACTACTGTTATGAAATCTCTTTTACCCAGAACACAGTAATACTAGGCAACCGGAAGATTTACCATATCCTAAGTGTGATGCTCGTTTGAGCCGGAGATTGTAAACATTTAAGAAACAAGTGTCAAATGTGTCTGAGCTCTTGTCTTCAGGCACGTCTTAGGTTCCTGGAGTTGGAAGAGATAGGTTTGAAGGAAAGAGACAAAGATTAAAGAAGAGAACTGTGGGTAGGAAGGAACTAAGTAAATTAGTATTTAGCTAGGACTTATAATAGTGCCCAGCCCACTGTATTACAAGTGCTTGGTCAATAAAAATATGCTACAATAAGAATCAGCCTGCCATTCACAAGTAACACATCACTTGATAACAAATTACTGGAACAACTATTTCAATTAATGAAGTCCTAATCTATTATATGATAAAGCTCAAAAACACTCACTCTTTATCATGAATTAGTTTTAAGTGGAAAGACGTGGGAAGAACAAATTAATGACTGGGAGTGATGTAGGTCTATGAAGCACTTGTGGAGAGGATAGACAGGGCTGGACATGGTATTGAAAAGGAGACCAGAAAGGCCAAAAGAAGGACCACGCAGTGAGAGAGAAAGATGGGCCAGGACTCTGTAAGGACAAAAGAAGTGAATTGTCCTACTCTGTACTTTCCTGAAGGTTCTCACTGTTGGGCCCAACTGGTACCATGAATATACATCCCTACCCCTCCACCACCATCTAGGTCCTATGGCATGTTATCTCAGTTAGGATGCCAAAGTTATACTCTACAGTCTTACATTACTTAAAAAAAAAAAAAAAAAAAAGGTAGTGAGGTGAAATTCACATAACATAAAGCCAGCACATTCAAGTGAATGCTTCAGTGGTGTTTAGTACATTTTCAATGTTGTGTAACTCCCACCTCTGTCTAGTTCCAAAAATTTCCATCACTCCAAACTAAAATCGTGTGCCATTTACATTATTTTCTAATGAGTGTTTTCTTTTTAATATAAAAAATCCTTCTTTAATATTGCAGCCAAATGTTTGTCTTACTCCTGAATAAGTATTTTTTATTTTTATTTATTTTTTTAAAGATTTTATTTATTTATTTGACACACAGAGAGACATCACAAGTAGGCAGAGAGGCAGGTACAGAGAGAGGGGGAAGCAGGCTCCCCACTGAGCAGAGACCCCGATGCGGAACTCGACCAGAGGACCCTGAGATCATGATCTGAGCCGAAGGCAGAGGCTTAACCAACCCACTGAGCCATCTAGGCGCCCGATTTTTTATTTTTTGTTTGTTTGTTTCCCCTCTGCTCTTTTTAATTAAGAATTATAGGGGCACCTGGGTGGCTCATTCGGTTGAGCATCTGACTCTTGGTTTCAACTCAGGTCAGGATTTCAGGTTCCTGAGATAGAGACCCACATTGTGGGGGCATTGGTGGGGGGAGGGGTCCTGCCCTCAGCTGGAGTCTGCTTCTCTCTGTCTGCCCCTTCCCCCACTCACATGCTCTCTGTCTCTGTCTCTTTCTCTGTCTCAAATAGAATAACAAAATTTTTAAAGAAAAAGATGTATATTCTGATTCTATTTTATATGTGCCCCAGTTGTTCCAACTTGGCTCTCCTTAAAGCAAAAATAAATTTCTATCTTCTTCCACATTTTTAGTAGTAGCATATTTCATGCAGTGGCTTGATTTTAGTTAAAGTCTAAAATATCTTGTGATTTGTGTATATGTGTAGGTATGTTCCACCTCATTCATTTCTTTTTTTTTTTTTTTTTTTTTTCTTGTCTCTTGTCTCTCTGATGTCAACAAATCATGAATTAATTCCTTCTTTGCAGTACTGCTGTTTTGTATCACTTCCCATAGTGGTGCCAAGAACAGAATGAGACTGAAGTGAGAGCAGCTTTTCTAGGCTTATAAATTATATGAGCAGCCTCTATGCAGAATGTCCAACACTGCGAGCTATGAATCAGTTTAATAGCATGCTTTTCTTCACAGAAGTAATTTCTTGGTAATTTTTCAGAGCTGTGTTGGTTGTAGCAATTCTATTTTTGTATTACATAAGATTTTGATGATTTTTAACTTGAGCACAGAAAATAAAATCAGAAGATAATTAGCAGTACAGAATCCTAGAAAAATTAAAATTCACAGTGATTTCTAGCGATGTGATTCCTAAAATGACTGTTTTGCTACATGAAAATATTACTGCTTATACGCTTTTTCTAAACGAAAGAAATATCTTTCCTCGACCTGAAGGAAACGTATTTTTGGGAATGAAATGATCATCTTAACAAAAGAACTTGAAGCATTTTTATGCTTTAGTATGCCTTGTTTTGCGAAAATAGGGGTTATGTCTGTATCCTATCCTGCTGTCTCAAAGGTACAGGTTTTAGCTCAAATTTGAGTGATTCTTAGGTAAATTTGGGTTGTAGAAAGCGAGGATTTCTATCATGTCAAGGTGTACTTACAACTACAACTAAAAGAAGGTTCTCAGGGGTGAAAGCAATAATAACGATTGATGGCACACGTTATGTACGAAGTACCACAGACACCCAAGTGTATCAATAATGTATTCCCTCACTTAATCTCACAACGGCTTCATGAGATGAGTACTGTTATTTTCTTTCTTTTTACAAATGTGAGGATACGGATGCCTGGGTGGCTTAGTCAGTTAAGCATTTGACCTCGGCTCAGGTCACGATCCCGGCATCCTGGGATTGAGCCCCCCTCATCGGGCTCCTTGCTCAGCGGAGAGCCTGCTTCTCCCCTGCCCCTCACCCTGTTCGTGCTCTCTCTCTCTCTTTCCTCCTATCTCTATCAAAATAAATAAAATCTTTAAAAACAAACAAACAAACAAACAAATGTGAGTATAATGTTCAAAAACAGTTAGTAATTTTCCCAACAGCACACACATAGTGTATGGCGGAGGTCTGACTCCAAAAGGCCGTGCCTGAAACTACTACCTTATGGTATAATAATCCTAAGGGCTGCATACAAGATTATGCTGGTCGTGCATTTTCACTGAAAATAGAGAGGACAGTCCATGGTAGCCAACTTCTCAGTTCTCTGGTTCTTTATCCTCGGTTGTTGACTCCATGATTCTGGCTGACTTACTGACCCCCAGTTACGGGGGTCACAGTGTTGGCACCTTCAGATGGAAGCACTGACTATGGTTTTGCTTGGAGTGTCCCAAAGAAACACATGGTGAATTCCAACTTCAAATTCTAGGAAATATGTTCTTACATTCTAAGGAATCCTAATTATTTTTTTCAGTCTTTAGTCAAATGGGTCACTCTCTAAATGAGTTGAAGTCTGACCACTCAGGTGTTTTGTAATTGTACACTAACACTCCTGTTCTACTAAGCAGAGTAGAGTACAGCACTCATTACCTCCCGATGTAGCATTTAATTCACTTTATGAGTTTTCTTTTAAACAGTTTTTTTTTAAGATTTTATTTATTTATTTGACACACAGAGAGAGAGCACTAGTAGGCAGAGAGGCAGGCAGAGGCAGGGTTGGGGTGGGGAACCGCAGGCTCCCCGCTGAGCAGAGAGCCTGAGGCGGGGCTCCATCCCAGAACTCTGAGATCATGACCTGAGCCGAAGGCAGAGGCTTAACCCACTGAGCCACCCAGGCACCCCTATGATATTTCTTGTGTGCGTTACTCCCCCTGCAAAGTGTGAGAGCTGAAAGAACAGGGATCTTTGTTTTGCTCACTGATAATAGCTCAGGAACAATGCTGGACACACGTACTCAACATCTGAGGATGACCTATACCATCACTTCACATCTTCCATGGTCATTGCGAGAGAGGCAGGAGTGGGTGTCATTGCATTTAGGAAAACCATCGGTTTTGTTTTTGATATAATTTGTGCAGAGGTTTTCCAGAGAGCAATGAGGACAAAAGTCATATCTTCCTGGTGAAAAGGGCCATGCGTGTGTGTGTCTGTGTGTGTATGTGTGTGTGTGTGTGTGTGTGTTTCTGTGTATGTAGTTAAATATAAGAAACAATGTGACTGAATACAAATTTATTCCTAAGACTAGAGCGTGTGGGCTAAAAATGAGGGTGGGTGTGTGTTTAATTGTTGGAAACTCAACAAAATACGGGAAGGAAACCTATCTCAAACTCAAGACTCCGGAAAGTCACCACCCATTCTCCTTAATCACCAGAACAGAACCGTGTTTCCTCAGACAAGTCCCTCAGCACACATTTGTCTTTGTAGCATAATTGTAAACATGTCTGTAAAATGATGTCTCTTTGTCATGGAAAACCTGCTCTAAAAACTTGAGGCACCCTTGAAAACAATTTTGTGGGTTTTTTTCTTTCCCTTGCCTTTCTTTTCTCTGTCGTATTTTCTGTTTTCCATTACCTTGTATTCTATTTCTCTATTTCTAGCAATATGTGTGGAACTAAAAGGAAAATTAGAAACTACATATAATAAAAAGGAACACCATAATTCTGTCACATAGAAATCATCACTGGGTTCATATTTTCATACACGTTTCTATAAGCTTTCTGTCCACATCTATGTGTATATTAATAAAACCTGGGATAATAAAAGTATTGCTTTCTAATCTACCATATCATGTAATATCCTGAATTTTTTTTAATGGCGTTAAATCTGCTGCATCAAAACCAGAGGTATGGAAAGGATTTGAACATAATTGCTCCTCTCGTCAAAGATGTGTGCTTTTGGGGTCAAACTGTATGCATTAAAAAAAAAAAAACTGTATGCATTGTGAGGAAAAAAAGTCTCAGAACTATGAAGGTGACACTCTAGGGAGCGTGACTGAAATGTACTTTAAAAATATTTACAACCAGAGGTTTCCTTTTCTCAACTCAAAGCAGCTGGTAGGTAAGTGCTGGGCTCCCCCCCGCCCCCACCCCACCACGGATAGTCATATTGTTTGGATTGTTAAAAGAGGGGTTCCTTCGGAGGATCCAGGAATTTTTAATGACGTAAGTATAGTAAATTTCCTGCAATAAAGTGATTTAAATGAGTTACAGTGGGGCAGTTAAATGTGATGCCAAGATTAAATCTTCTCAAAATTTATCTGGATAGAGATAAGAAATAGAAATTCATGATTTAATAGGAGATCATATCAGGTTTGTATCAATATATCAACAGAAAGGATTATCAAAGAATGGGTCTGAGTGAGGACACAGCATGTTGATGGCATGTTTGTGGATCCCACAGGCTGAACCGAGTGCCTTTCTCTGTTTACCTCAATGGCACTCATGGCACTTATCACAATGGAGTAAAATTACATTATCTTATTTGTCTCTTCTCTCAGGCTATAAACTCCCTGACGACTGAGGCTGGGAATAGTAAGATAAATGATAAATAATTATCATAACTGCCACTTTTCAATTACTTACCATGTCCAGGCATGTGCACTCTGCATGTATTACTGTATTTGAAGACTCACTACAACTCTGTGACATACTATCTTATTTCACAGATGGTAACTGAGGCTCATGAACTATGGTCAGTACCCTAATGTCATGCAGTTGTTATGGAGAAGAGCTCTAATGCTTTTGGTTCATCTTTGGGCTAAGCCATCATGGTGCCCATTGAAGTAATTTATGAGTGAATGAATGAATGAATTAATTAAATTATAAAGGAATACCTAAACGCTATTTAAAAATTTACTTAAGTAAAATATAAATTCATAGGGACAATTAGAAAACAAGTATTTTTGTTGTTGTTCCTAGAGGTTATTTTAGCCTGTAAATCCCCAAAGAAGACCATTTCCTCCAGATTAGAGTGGAAGAAACTGGGCCGGAGTGTGTCCTTTGTCTACTACCAACAGGCTCTTCAAGGTAAGAAGCTATAGACTTGATGAGGTGAGAACAGGAGAACACCAAGTGTAGCCTGAGTTCTTTAGTTTACAGATGAGAACAGGACAGGACTAATTATTGAGAATACTGGGTTTTTAAATCATTTTGTTTTGTTTTGTTTTGTTTTCATCATGATAAGTGTACTCTTAATCCCTATCCCCTATATCCCCCATTCCCCTACCCATCTTCCCTCTGGTTACCATCAGTTTGTTCTCTTATATTAAGAGTCTACTTCCTGGTTTCTCTTTCTTTCTCTCTCTCTCTCTCTCATTTCCCCTTTGCTCACTTGTTTTGCTTCTTAAATTCCACATATGAGTGAGATCATATGGTATTTTTCTTTCTCTGACTGACTTATTTTGCTTAGTATAATACCCTTTAGCTCTATCCATATTGTTGCAAATGGCAAGATTTCATACTTTTTATAGCTGAGTAACATTCCATTATATATAGATCTACCACATCTTCTTTAGCCATTCATCTACCAATGGACACTGGGCTGCTCTCATAATTTAGCTATTGTAAATAATGCTGCAATAAAAATAGGGGTGCATGTATCTCTTTGAATTAGTGTTTTTATATCTTTTGGGTAAGTACCCAGTTGTGCAATTCCTGGATTATAGATAGTTCTGTTTTTTAATTTTTTGAGGAAATTCCATACAGTTTTCCATAGTAGCTGCACCAGTTTGCATTCCCACAGTGCACAAGGGTTCTTTTTTCTCTTCATCCTCACTAGTACCTGTTGTTTCTTGTGTTTTTGATGTTAGCTATTCTGACAAGTGTGAGATGATATCTCACTGTAGTTTAGATTTGTATTTCCCTGATGATGAGTGACGTTGAGCATCTTTCCATGTGTCTGTTGGACATTTGTCTGTCTTCTTTGGAGAAATATCTGTTCATGTCTTCTGCCCATTTTTTAACTGGACTACTTGTTTTTTGCATATTGAGTTGATTCAGTTCTTTATATATTTTGAATACTAACCCTTTATCAGATGTATCATTTGCAAATATCTTCTTGCATTCCATAGGTTGCCTTTTAGTTTTCATTGTTTCCTTCACTGTGCAGAAACTTTTTATTTTGGTATAGTCCCAGTAGTTTATTTTTGCTTTTATTTCCCTTGCCTCAGAAGACCTATCTATTCAAGACATGTCTCCAAAGGCAAAGGAAACAAAAATGAAAATGAACCTTTGGGACTTCTTCAAGATCAAAAGCTTCTGCACAGCAAAGGAAACAATCAACAAAACAAAGAAGCAAAGCACAGAATGGGAGAAGATATTCGCAAATGACACTACAGACAAAGGGCTGATATCCAAGATCTATAAAGAACTCCTCAAACTCAATACCCAAAAAGCAGATAATCATGTCAAAAGATGGACAGAAGACATTGGAGACACTTCTCCAATGAAGACATACATCATCATTAGCCATCAAGGAAATTCAAATCAAAGCCACGTTGAGATACCACCTTACACCAGTTAGAATGGCAAAGATTAACAAGACAGGCAACAACAAATGTTGGAGAGGATGTGGAGAAAGGGGAACCCTCATACAGTGTTGGTAGGAATGCAAGTTGGTGCAGCGACTTTGGAAAACAGTGCGGAGATTCCTCAAAAAATTAAAAATAGAGCTTCCCTATGACCCTGAAATTGCACTACTGGGTATTTACCCCAAAGATACAGATGTAGTGAAAAGAAGGGGCATATGTACCCCAATGTTCATAGCAGCAATGGCACAATCACAAGCTGTGGGAAGAGCCAAGATGCCCTTCAACAGACGAATGGATAAAGAAGATGTGGTCCATATATATTATGGAATATTGTGCCTCCATCAGAAAGGGTGAATACCCCAACTTTATATCAACATGAATGGGACTGGAGAATATTATGCTGAGCGAAATAAGAGAGAGTCAATTATCATATGGTTTCACTTACTTGTGGATCATAAGGAATAACATGGAGGACATTATGGGAAGGAGAAGAAAAGTGAATTGGGGGAAATCGGAGGGGTAGATGAACCATGAGACACTGTGGACTTTGAGAAACAAACAAGGTTTTAGAGGGGAGGGGAATGGGGGGATGGATGAGCCTGGTGGCAGGTCTTAAGGAGGACACGTATTGTATGGAGCACTGGATGTGGTGCAAAAAAAATGAATCTTAGAACATTGGAAGAATAAAAAAGCTTATCTAGAAAACTTGTTACAACCAATGTCAGAGAGAACCTCTGCTCTCTTCAAGGATTTTTATGGTTTCAGGTCTCATATTTAGACCTTTAATCCATTTTGAGTTTATTTTTGTGTATGGTGAAAGAGGAAGTGTTTTTAAGTGTACGATGAAACCAACAATGCCTGAAACCTAGAACACAATCACCGTGAAAACAGAACAGAGAACAGAAGAAGGTGAACTCCATGGAGACCCTGGACCCTTCATATCTCAGCTCAGCCCTGAAAGATGTAAAATGGACTGCTTTTTGCTGGCCCAGTAGATTAGACTTTTGAGAGTCTTGAGAGAAGAGCTGATGTGGAAGTGAGATGGAGGGTCACTGCTCGGTGATAATAATTTTACCCTATCTCCACATCACCATCTAGAAAGCTAGGCCATCACTAAGAAGCCTATGGAGTTAAGACTTAGACTTATGGCGGGGAAGGTAAATACAACTATTTTTAACAATGCTTTATTTTAATTATTTGTCATACATTTCTTTCCACTTGCTATTCTTCTTGTTGGATATATAATGAGCTTTTAAAGTATTTATGATAATGGATAAAATGCTATGATGTCTGGGATTTGCCTCCAAATAATTCAGTGTTTAGAGGTGTAGACAGAATAGGAAGGCTGTGTATGGATTACTGTTGTCACTGGGTGATGAGATTTATTTTAAAATACTCTGTAATTTTTTGTGCACTTGAAGTTTTCCATTATAAGCATTTTAAAAGTTGGGAATATAATTTAGCAAGTGTAAGAAGCATGCTATTATTTTAGGATGCTATGCATTACTTTAATTTTAAAGAATTAAACATGTGAACAAACGTTCAAAGTCCATAAAGAATTTAAAATACCCCCCTTGTTCTCATCTGTCAAGATAGAACTGCTGTGGTCCTCAGGGATGTCTTTGCTTGAATTTTCTACCATTGCCAGTCTAGCACCTGAATGTTATACAAAACGCTATCTTCATTCTGCACCAAAAAACTAATCAAAAGAATGTTTTTAAGACCCCTTCACCTTGTCTTTATGGCAGTCTGATGTGGGCCACTGCACGTAATTTACTGTTCTAGGTAATTGAACTAGAGTCTGCAGTGTCTTCTGAAGGTGGGAATGTTTGTATAAGCATATTAGAAAGGGCCTGAGGGAGGAATGAGAATTGACTCCTCTAAAATATGAGAATACTGAACTGAATATTATTATTATTTTTTTTATTTGACGGATAGAGATCACAAGTAGGCAGAAGTAGGCAGAGAGTCAGACAAAGAGAGAGGAGGAAGCAGGCTCCCTGCTGAGCAGAGAGCCCGATGTGGGACTCGATCCCAGGACCCTGGGATCATGACCTGGGCCGAAGGCAGAGGCTTAACCCACTGAGCCACCCAGGCACCCTGAACTGAATATTCTTTTGTGAACTGTATATCATTCTAAAAAAAAGGAAATTTGAAAATAGTCACATTTGCATACAGTGTTTTGAGTTTTTATTTTTTTTATTTAAATTCAATTAGCCAACGTATAGCACATTATTAGTTTCAGATGTAGAGGTCAATAATTCATCAGTCTTCTATAACACCCAGTGCTCATCACATCACATGCCCTCCTTAATGCCCGTCACCCAGTTATCCCATCCCCTCACCCACCTCCCCTCCAGCAGCCCTCTGTTTGTTTCCTATACTTAAGAGTCCCTTTTGAGTTTTTAAACTGAGTTTACTAATAGGAAAAGAAATCCTTTGGTCACTGAATGAAGTGACTCGAGGAAGGTAGTATGTAGAAAGTTATTTGCATTCTTATTAACATCATTGTCTTCTTTTTCTAAAAGGTGATTTTAAAGATCGAGCCGAGATGATAGATTTCAGTATACGGATCAAAAATGTTACAAGAACCGATGCTGGGAAATATCGCTGTGAAGTTAGTGCCCCATCTGAGCAAGGCCAGAACCTGGAAGAAGATACGGTCACTCTAGAAGTCCTAGGTGTGATGTGCTTGTATCTGTGAGATTACTGTTCCCCACCCTCTTTCCCATCCAGAAGGTTCTAGAAATCAACAGCACCACCTTTCCTGTAAAATCTTGGCTATAGCCCCTTTTCACCTCATTCACTGCTGAAATTTTACTCTTATAAATTTGTTCTAACGAAATCTCTTTTCATTTCAGATTAAGGTAAATCTTAATGGGCCTATCTTGTACATAGGAACATTTCCCTGAAGAACTTATTTTTCAATACCTTTCAGTATATGTGGATTATCTCTTACCATATAAAATCCTAACACATGAGATGACAGAAGAGCAATAAAACAAAAAAGTAGGGCAGGTAAAGTATTAGAAGTTATTTGGGAGAAGAGAAGAGAAGAGAAGAGAAGAGAAGAGAAGAGGAGTAGAGAAGAGAAGAGGGGAGAGGAGAGGAAGAAGTTATTTAGTAAAGAAGGGAAATTAGCATTTATTATGCAACTAGTGTATGTTAGGCTCTTTAACATATGTAATTTTACTTAATTTTTCACTGACGACTTCATTTTTATAGATGAGAAAATAGAAGCTAAATGATTTTCCCAAGTCTACACAGCTAATAAGTGTCTGGACCAGGATTTGGATCCTGGTAGGACTAATTCCAAGGCCAATATATTTAGCTACTATGAGAAACACTGATAGATATTAACAGCTCATGATGACAATCGGTGGAGGAACATCTTCTTGTCTTCTCCATAGATGTTAGTATAAACTGCTGATCACAGAGACTAAAATGGCTCCTCTTCCTTTTTCTATATAACCCAGGGTCTTTCTAAAATACTAGTGATGCACTAGTAGAGAAGAAATTTAACTCAGAAAATTTTGCAGGAGATTCCACTGGTGTATTAGTCTTCTTCTTCTTTTTTTTTTTAATAAATTTTATTTTTTTAAAAACATATAATATATTTTTATCCCCAGGGGTACAGGTCTGTGAATCGGTGTATTAGTCTTCTTTTGCTACATAACAGATGATCAAAACCTGGCAACTTAAAACACCACCCATGTATTGGCTCACAGTTGTGTAGATCAGAAGTCCAGCTCAGCAAGGCAGGGCTTGCTGCCCAGGGTATTTTAAGACTGAAATCAGGGAGTCAGTGGGCTGGGTTCTGGTCTGGAGGTTCTGGGGAAAGGTTGCTCTCTTTGTTGGCAGATTTCAGATCCTTTGGCTGTCTGTACAGCTGAAGATTCAGTTCCATGCTGGCTGTGAGCTGGGGGCCACACTCGGCTCCTAGGGGCACCATATTCCCCACCACACGGCCCTCTTCATCTACAGCCCAACAGAAGCATGTTGAGTCCTTCCTGTGCTCTGAATTTCTGACTTTCCCATCTGTGACCACCCAGAGAAAACAAGTTTTCAAGGGGCCATGGGATTAGGTCAGACCCATCTATGTAATCTCCCTATCTTAAAAGACAATAGATTTGGGACCTTAGTTACATCTCCAAAATCTCTTCAAAGTAGTTCCTAGATTCGTGTTTATAGGTAAGGCCTGGAAATGGCATATATGACTTTTCCCACATGCCACTGTCCAGAACTCATGCTGGCAAATGTGGTCTGGCTGTGTGCCCATGAAGAAAGGAAATGGATCTCTTGAGCAAGTAGCCGGTCTCTCTCACAGGTGTCTAATAAGCCCATCTTGACCTGGCTGTTAAAATCCTTGTTTAACTTCTAAATAACCAGTGCCATTTGACTTCCCTCCTTTAGTGGCTCCAGCAGTTCCAACCTGTGAAGTACCCAGTTCTGCTCTGAGTGGAACGGTGGTAGAGCTTCGATGTCAAGACAAAGAAGGGAATCCCGCCCCTGAGTACACCTGGTTTAAAGATGGCATCCCTTTGTCAGAGAATACAAAACTTGGCTCCCAAAGCACCAACAGCTCCTATACAGTGAATACAAAATCTGGAACTCTGGTAAGGTCATTTCAAGCACTGGCCTCATAGCTGTCTTGTATTTGGAGAGGAAAAATTATTAGAACTAAACTGATGGAAAACAGAGGGCTGATACCATTGCTTAAGGGGCAGCGGGAAAGATGGCGGTGCACTCCCAGGGAAGTGACAGAAAAGGCACTACCAGAGATGAGCAGACTTTATAGAGAACTAATAATAATATTTTAACAAATTTTGAAAGTTTCATTCTTTCACTCTACTAGTACATAATAACATTTAAAAAAGTAGATCCTCTGGTAAATAATAAAGCATATTTAATAAAGTGGCTAAATAATAAAGCATATCGATGGGCGTGGCTCCTTGAGGAAGACCATGGTCCCGCCCTTGCAGCTCCAGCAGGCTCAGTCAGCAGGTCCGACAGATTTTACACTGAGGAGCCGGGCAGAAAAACTGCCGTCACACATTGCTATATTTACTTTTCAAATTTATTTTTTCTCCAAGCAGGTGATAAAAGCCCCAAGGCAGGTTTGAGACAGGTTCACTTTCCCCACTTAGCCTCAACCCTTGAAATATCTTATGATGTCAAAGGGTTGCACCAGGTCAGAACAAGGATGGGTTCTTGCCTGAGAAATAGGCAACAAAAGACTCCAGTGTATGAATGACAATGACCTTCTTTTAATTACCAGTTATGTGCTAGTAGGTCATTTATGGTTTTAGTCTAACTTATCGTTAATGACTTACCCTTGCCCTTGCATTGCTGGTGAGTATTTTTATAGTCTGGCTTTTGGCACAAGGAGAGAGGATTTCATAAGGTGAAACACACAAGGGGAAACTTTCTATCCCATCACGTTTAAGTATACAAAAAGAAGGGGGATGTAAGTAGTGGGGAATGACAAGTAAGAGAGAAAAAGGGATTTGTGGATCAAAAACCTGGCTGCTTTTAGGAGCATGTATTGCGTGAGGATCCAAGCCAATGAGGAGGTGCTCCTTAGAGACTCATGGCTATCGTGGCTGTGGTCAACGGTGACCATGGCGGTATTGAGGGTGTGACAGGAGGACACCGAAAGCATGCTTCTGGGCATCCTTCTCACCCTCTGTGCTGGTCCTGGAAGGATCCTTTAAGGTGTTCAGGACCTACTGTGTTCCCTCCCTCCCTGACTCTCTCCTAACTTCCTCCCTCCCTCCCTTCGCTTCCTTCTTGTCATCTATCCATCCATCTTTGCTTCCTTCCTTCCTCCCTTTCTCCCTTCTGTTTTCCCTTGCCTTCCTTTTTCTTCCCTCCCCCTGCTACCCATCCATATATCCATCCATCTTTTCTTCCTTTCTTCCTTCCTCTTTCCCTTTCCTTCCTTTCTCTTCTCTTCCCTCCCCTCCCCTCCAGAAATTCACCAAGGGGATCAATCCACTAATAGCAGTTAATAAAGCCTATTATACCAAAGTCTTACCTTTCAGTTGTTTTGGCAGAGAGTAGAAGGAGCAAAGGTTAGAGCATTATCCTTTCAGAATTTTCAAAGATGCCACAACTGATAGAATTTGTAATCCTATAAATCACACTGATTAAGATTTTCCTAGACCCTATGCTACTTCCTGGTAGAAGTTCTGGCCCTTTAGAGGAAGTGCTCATTACCTGCTGCTGTGGTAAACTCACTAGTGGCTGAGGAAACTGCCTTAGCCATTTCAGGCCGAGGCGGCCTTTCTTTACAAATGGTGTTTCCTGGGAATTAGAAATACCACCAAACTTTAAACTACCATGTGCTATAAACTTTAAAAAATGCCCATTGCCTTCCTAACCACACCACTTCCACGGTATCATGAAACAAAGACACTTCCCCATATATATTTAAGACTTTCTCTATCAAAATAAACAGGAAGCCCAGCTACTTACCCCTTGAAGGCATGGCCGAGTTTTGAATTCACAGTAAAGACATCAAGTCCTAACGCATGACAAAGGAAAGACCAACTTCATGCTAAAATTCAAGAGACATGGTTACTTGAGAAGTCTTCTTACGGATTCATGGCTTAAAATATATATTTATTTTCCTTCCACAAATAGCAATTTAACACTGTTTCAAAACTAGACAGTGGAGAGTATTCCTGTGAAGCCCGTAATTCTGTTGGACATCGCAGGTGTCCGGGGAAGCGAATGCAAGTAGGTAAGCCTGCGGTACTGGGAGGAACGATGGTCTGCAGTCAGAGCACACGTGGACTTGGGGATGGGAAGGAGCCAGGGGTGGGACCGTGCCTGACTGGCTAGAAGAATAACCAGAGGGAGTATTTAAAATTAGCTTGACATAATGTGTTGCAAAAAGCAAACATGCTGTTCTCAGTCCATCTCCCAAACAAGCCAAGAATATTTAACACTCTACTCTTCAAGTTTTTGGATTTTTCAAATCATTTTTTAAAAAATATTTTTGTCAAAAAAAAAAATTTTTTTTGTCCGGGTGGTCTTCTTTCAAACAAAAGCTAAGAGACTTGTAAAGTGCTCAGGGTCAAGGATTGGGGAGTTAAGTTTCCAGCTCTGTCACTTACTAGCTATGTATTCTTGGGTGAATTATTTAACCTCAGTCTCCCCAAAGTAGAGGTAATAATACCTCATTGTGTTATGGTTCCATTGGTAGAGCGTGTGACTGTTGATCTCAGAGTCATGAGTTCAAGTTCCACATGGGGAGTACATCTTACTTAACAAAAAGAAAAAAATAATGGATATTTGAAAGGGTTAGAATAGCACTGGCATATTGTGAGCACTGTCAGGAGCTGGCCGTCTTAGTGGTGGATAATTTTTTCAATCCCCTAAAATACAGTGCTTGAGAGCGGGCTCTCAAGAAAGACATGTCGAATGTAGTTATGAATCTCTATTTGCTATAAAACATATCTGCCATATATTTCACAAAATAAGCTTCTTAGAAGTCAATAAAATTAGTACAATAAAATTAGTACTTGGGAATCTTTTCAGATTATATGAGTTTCAGAGCAAACTTTTTTTTTCATTTTATTTCTAATAATTTGGTTCATTCTCCCTTTGTGAAAGTCCTGTGTTTTGAAAAAGATTATGTCATAGGGCAGCTGGAGATTGCTCTTGTGGGGTTAAAGGTCATTCCGGAGGGCTGCACCCCAAAACAGAATACCCACAGTTCCCCTTGGTTCAGGAGTTTGTCCTCATCTCTGTGAGGTCAGAAATTCATGTTTTCAATGTGCTCAGAGATATACAGATCTATGCACACTAATTTGTGGTGTTTATGTACGATTAAACTCTTGGGATTGTTTTTTAAAGAAAATATAATCTTATTAGACCTTAGGATGCCATAAAGGATAAGATACTTAGGAGTGTATTCTAGTTTCCACAAGTGTCTTTTTAAAATTCAGGGTTACATATTATCCATCCAATTCACTCAAGTGTTGACATTTATAGTCAAACATAAACATTTGCTTAAAATATCAGAAGTATCCATCTTAGTGCTGGAGTTACCATTCAAAAAATCATCAGAATATATTTAAAGGTAATGCATGAATATGGTGTTTTCCTAACTGCATTTATTCACATATTACCCTCATGTTTTTTTTACTGTGACCTTATGCCACCTGCACTATTTTTTCTTTCTTTAAATGGTCCTGTTTAATTTCAATGCCTAATTTAGCCTCATCTCAAGAAATAATACCTTTGATGTCATGGCCTTAACATACGAATTACATTTTCCAATCATGCAGTTTTATTTGGAATACATTATTCCAAGCGTGCATGTTTATTTAAAGTGCAAAACAGCTGAAATTTAATAGTTTGCGTTGCACTATTCCTACCAGTTTAATTTGACCATGATTTTCCCATATCTACTCTTTTCAGTGTAAGTCAGCTTAGAAGTTAAAATTTGTTCATTTAATGCTCATCCATCGATCCTAGATGTTTCATGACCTTGGGTTGAAATTGAATATCTTTTGATACATAAAAATTTGTGAAATCATATGTCAAGTTTCCTTCATGGGTTATCTGTAATAACTTACGACCCAAACCAGAATCTATTCTAAGGAAGCTCTTTTTAAAGTATAAAAAGAAAGTAAATCATGGATCTGATGATTATGCCCAAGCTGCCCCTTGTAAAACTCCCAGGAGACCCCACTCACACTTAGCATCTTAACAGTTTGGTTCCTTTTGTTTTGGTTAGAATGATGATGCCTTCCTTTTGTAGTGGCTTTTTTTTTTTTTTTTTTAAAAAAAAAACCAAAATATTTTTGTACATGTTGTTACTAACTCATCTCTAACTTACAAGTCTTCTTCCATTTCACTGAGAGAAGTAAAGTAAAATTTATACCATAACTTACAGGGTAAGACAGGTTTTTGTTGTTGTTAGAATCTGCCTTTAGGTTGAATCCTTCATAGATGTCAAGTTCATTGACAAAACTATAGAACGGATATTTGTCTGATAATAGCCCTGAGATTGAAACCTTTGCAGACATCACATTCGTTGACTGCTACAAAGAAAATAGTAGGTACAGTTTGGTTCTGTAGTTATTAACTTAATTTTGCCTTATTATAATTATTGTAGATTTTTTCCTTATTGATTTTATTTTGCCTTAAATTATTAATATTGTGGAATGTTTTTCTCTGTCTGCTACTTTTTTAAGTAAATAAATAGCTGGGTCTTACTGACCTCTCAATGCTCAAGCAAAATGAACTGAGTTTTTTGTTTGTTTGTTTGTTTGCTTTTTAAGATTTTAGTTTATAGTAAAATCTGTGCCCAATGTGGGGCCTGAACTTACAACCTTGAGATCAAGTGTCATGCTCTACTGATTGAGCCAGCCAGGTGCCCCTAAAAATGAACTGACTTTACACCAAGCAATAATTAATGTTTTGTACTCCAGTCAAATTGCTCAGCCTTCCAAAAAATGTATTCAGTTTTTTTCTTAAAAAATCATTTAATATTTCAGATATATGAGAAAATTAATAACCCTTGACGTTAGAAAAAAATTTTGAGACCAAAAAGTTTTATGATAAGGATACTCACTTAAATAATATTTCTTTAAAAAAAATCTTTCCCAAAATGTGCAGTGCTTTTAAATATCTACAATTACTGTTGAGAAAATGCTACCTATATTTTCTCCAAATTACTTAATCACATATTAACTAATACTTGCTTTTAAAACAAGAACCCTTTGAGGAATTGTTCCTTTAAAAAGTATAGGTAATTTATATATTAATCAATACATAGGAAGTATCCAAATGACGGAAAGGTGTGGCTCATGAAATCCTGATGGACAAGCTGGAGAAATGTGACCCAGGTTAAATATTTAGATGTATTCACACAGTTGGAGCCCATACCCAGAAGGTATAATAAATTCCATTATATGAAGGGAGGTGTGTAATAGCCTGTTCTATAGTTCTTTGCCTAACAAAGTCATAGTCATCATTTTATTAGTGATCTGAATGGGGACGTTTTTGCTGCTGTTCCCAATTGCATAAATATTAATCTTGGAAGGTTCATAATCTAATCCTTGGATAACAGAATCTGTATCTGAAAAGAACCTCGCAGGTTAGTAACATGGTAGTGATTTCAAACTTGGGTCCAAAAAATCCAGTTGTATCAGGTTAGAGGAAAGATCACTTAATAGCAACAGGAAAAAGTCTTGGAGAGTGTAGTTCATTTTAAACTTAATGGGATGATAATTTAATGGCATATATGTTGTGGGTGTGTATGTGTCTATATGTACCCATACACAAGCCCAATTAAATTCAAGAAACATGTTTCCAACTCTTATTTTATAGAACAACAGTCACATGGCTTTCTTGGGGGCTGAATGAGTTTTCCATTATTGAGAAAATTGACCCAGATGATGGTATAGAAGAATTCTGAGTAGAATTGGGGTTGTGTGGTGGTTTAATACTTGACCTCACTGAACCTTGAAGATCACTTCCAATCTGATGTTTAATCCTTTGAAGTACTATTTCCCCCAAATGAATGCAAGAGAATACCATACATGTTATTTCTGAATCATGGAACTTCTTTCAATTTAAGATTCTTGCAAAACTTAATTCTGTTAATATTTTCAGTTTTGAACCTTGTCCTGGAAGGGAATCAATGGAACAGGCTTCAGCAGCATGGAACCACCCACGTCTATAGTATAGCAACAAATGGGGAGCTTACTTGAATTTTCTCAATTTAATAACTGCCTCTGTCCATATATTTGACCTGAATTCATGCATAGCTTGTTTTGCATTCCAGATGATCTCAACATAAGTGGCATCATAGCAGCTGTAGTAGTCGTGGCCTTAGTGATTTCTGTTTGTGGCCTTGGCGTGTGCTATGCTCAGAGGAAAGGCTACTTTTCAAGTAAGTGAATCTCACCCTTCTTTGCTAGATAACTTCCTGTGGATATAGAGTTTTCTTACAAGACGTTGTTTCTCTCAATTAGTTCTAACAATTTCTAGCGGGTATTTTTCCTTGGTTTTTCTGCAGCAGAAAATGTCCCAGGTGACAGGTGGGTGAGTTATGAAGGACCTTGGCAAACAGAGGGAGAAAAGGCAGAGCTTCCTCATGACAACATTCAGGAAACACCACAGACTATGTGAGAGGCACAGTGGGGTGGCTTAATGGGGTGATACTGACAGATAGCCAAAGCACATGGATATGTATAGTATATTGACATGTATTTAAGAGCCCCTTAAGTTAGGAATTATGTATCTCAAGATGTAAATGGATTTCCAGTTTTATCATAAGAAGCTTCATTGAAATAAATCAGTGAAATATTTTATCAGTGTTGAATACCAGAATGTTGAATGTCAACCTAAAATAACTATATACATATATGTATATATATACATATATATACATATATATGTCCTTGTTCAATAAAAACTAGAAACCTGTAGTATTACAGTTGCTTCTGGACAAAGTTTTTAATTCTTAGGTTTAGACCTCTTATAACTCCAAACACCCATTTTATGATAAAATGGGTTTAATATGAATGAGATTTGAAAATAATGTATTATTCTTTTAAAGTATTTCTTTACTCCCCATCTTTATTTAAAATTAGGGGATTTTTTAAATTATCTGAGAGCTCAAAAGCTGCAGAACTCCATCAAGTCTGTTGGAAAGAGTGTACAAAGCAGGATTTTTTTTCATAGAATAGTAAATTAATTTATAGCATAAGCAAGTTTTAGACCCACTGTTTTATAGTGAACATTAATTTTAGAACTTAGGTTTAAAAAACATATTAACATAAAAATTAACCTATAAATAGATATTCAGTGTCATAAAATGTTTCCATGGCATTGTTTCAAGCATAATCCCTATAATTAAGAATAGCTGCTTTGTGAATTAATAGCTCCTCTCCTTGGTGCTCCAATCTTAGTCTAGTGTAAATGTAATTTTATGAATGGAATCCAGCTGAGGCCCCCTGCTGGTCACCGGTGAAAGTACAGACAGATAAGATGATTCAGACAAAATTCTTGTCATCTTTATCCATAGTTGCAAAATAAAGTATATCTTTATTGGAAACTTGGTAAATACATTTTTCTTAAAATGCTGAATTAATCAAAGATTTGACTTGGGTGTTAGGAATTCATTAGTGAAGAATATTACTCCCATTCTCAGCTGATAGAAAATCTATCCAAGAGGATCATTTCCTTGAACTTGATTTCAGACAGGAGTTGGCAGGCTATGACTGGTGCACCAAACCCAGCCTGCCACCTGGGTTTCTGTGGCTCACAAGCTAAGAATGTTTTTACAAATGAATATTTACAATCTGTTTGATAAGAAGGAATACTAACTTTGAATCCCAGTTAGCAGAAATGTTATACTTGTCAATGAAAGAATTCTATTTTTCCAATTAATAGACCTATACAAAAGACTTTGATTATTATTATTGTATTTTGAATTTTATTAATAAAAATTTTTGGAAACTTGGTCTCTCTTATTATGTAAGTGCCTACTTAATATCCTCAATTCTACCTCTTGGCCCACAAAACCTAAAGATTTGCCTTGTGGCCCTTGACAGAAAAAAGTTTGCCAACCCTTGATTTAGAAAGTATAGATGTCACCAAGAGACAATCAAGATTGAGAAAAAGAAATTAAGCCTAAACTTGCTTTTATATGAATATGTATCATACCATATTACTCTTGCATTAATGATATATCCTTATTCTTTTGTAGAAGAGACCTCGTTCCAGTAAGTATACTTTCTTAAATGCATGCCTTTCTGCCCACACCAGCTAATTTTCGGCTAATCATCTGTTTTAAGTCAAACATGGAAAGTTGGGTTATTTGTGAAGGTTTTATCCTAAGGGAAGTGACTCAAATTCATCAAGAAATATATCCCACCTCATACCTACCTGTCAATGCTGTTTAATTAGCTAGAGAAGACATGTAGTCACTAATTCAACTCTGTGGGCATTTCCATCGTACTCTTTAAAAAATATATTTTCTGCATTTTGATAACTTTAAAATTTTCAAATAAAATTTTACTAAACAGCCATTTTCACATTGAATTGGATATTTATTTGGTGCCCAGCTCTGTCCTAGGGAGTGGCCACACAGCAGTGAACAAAACAGGCTACACTACTCCCTGCCTCATGGAGCTTACATAGAGAAAGGTGGAAAGTAAACACAGATGTAAACTCTACAGTATGTCAGACTGTGGTAAGTGTTACGGAGTCAGCTAAGTGGATAAGGGGATAGAGAATACATGGGGTAGGAGAGGAGATTGTCCTTTACGGTGGTTAGGTGGTTCATTCACTGATGAAGTGATGTTTGAGAAGGTCCTAAAGGAGCAGAAAGAGCAAATTATGCAGATACCCATGAGAAGAGCCTTCAAGCAGAGGAGAAAGTATAGATGGAAAGGTCTAGAGGCCAGGCCCACCTGGAGTATCTGAGGCACATGGAGGGGACTGGTGTGGCTGAAACTGAGTGAGGACAGTAGAGGGAAGGGATGAGTGTGCAAACGTAGCGGAGGCCAGATGACACGGAGCCCCTTCAGGGCACTTGTGAGGAGTCTGACCTTGATTCTGAGTCAGATGGGAAGTCATTGAAAGGCTTTGAGTCAGGGAGTAGTATCCTGTTACTTAATTTTTAGAAGCTCACATTCACTGCTCTGTTAAGAATCAACTATAAGGGGGGTACCTGGGTGGCTCAGTGGGTTAAAGCCTCTGCCTTCGGCTCGGGTCAAGATCTCAGGGTCCTGGGATCGAGTCCCTCATCGGGCTCTCTGCTCAGCAGGGAGCCTCCTTCCTCCTCTGTCTCTGCCTGCCTCTCTGCCTACTTGTGATCTCTGTCAAATAAATAAATAAAATCTTAAAAAAAAAAAGAATCAACTATAATGTAGCGAAGAGTGGAGGAAGTTAGTAAATTACTGAGTAATTATCCAGCCAAAAGAAAATGGTGGCTGGTTATGTGAAGCGATAGGATTCTGGATACATTTGAACAATTTACTGATTGGTTGGATGTCGATGTGAGAGAAAAAGAGAAAAATCAAAGATAGTTCCTTGGCTATGAGAAGAATGATGTTACCATTTACCAAACTGTGCAAGATTTCAGGAGGAGCAGGTTTGGGGGCATTAGGTGGGAAGGTCTGGAATGTTTGGGAATTTTAATATTTGAGATGCCAATCAGCTTCCTAGTAGAGATAATTAGTAAATAACAGGATATATAAACCTGGAGTTTGTGGAAATAACTAGGATTAGCAATTTAAAAATAATTGGTGTATGAGATGACAAAGGGGTTTTTTTTAATATTTTTTATTTATTTATATGAGAGAGAGAGAGAAGAGAGCAAGCACAAGCAGGTAGAAGAGCAGAGGGAGAGGGAAAAGCAGGGACCCCAACTCAAGGGTCCGATCCCAGGACTCTGGGATCGTGTCCTGAGCTGCAGGCAGATGCTTAACCGACTGAGCCACCCAGGCACCCCGAGATGACAAAGTTTATTTGTGCTTCATTTGTGACCGTCCTTTGGGTGTACATGGAAATAGCAGACCCAATGTCGGGCAATGGGCATTCCCATCTACTCTCAGCTGCTATGGCTCCAGATATGTCATAATCTTTAAGTCTTTTTGAAGATTTAGCTGCCATTGATCTCCTGTTTCCAGACTTCCTGCTCAGCCCTGGTTGCTCAGTCTAATCCTATCCCAGTACAAGTCCAGGATGAGTTCCAAGTTATCAGGACTAGCAGTCATAAAGGGTGAGATTTCAGAGAACAGGGTTGCCTGATGTTATAGCCTCCCACAACCCACCCCAGGCAACTGTGAGGACTGCTACTTTTACTGAGGAAGATGGAAAGTAATTAGAGGGTTTTGAGCAGAAGAGAGAATCAATCATCTTACATAAGGAGAAAGGTCGGCATTGCTACTGTGAAGAAGTTTATTCTTGTCTTCAATCACAATGTCTCTTAATAACCCAGGGAGGAATCTGGAGGCAATATCTTTACTCCTAGACACATCTCCTGCCACTTGTCAAATCCATGACCCTTAAAATTTGTTGGCTAATGAATTGGATGTTATATTAATTTGCTAGGACCGCTGTCACAAAGTGCCACAGATAAGTAGCTTAAACAGAAATTCCTTTTCTTATGCTTCTGAAGGCTACAATTCCAGATCAAGGTGACAACAGGGTTGGTTCCTTCTCAGGACGGTGAGGGAAGATCTGTTCCAAGCCTTTCTCTCTCCTTGGCTTATACATGGTCTTCTGTCTTCATATTGTCTTCCTTCTGCCTGTGTTTGTCTCTACATTTACTCTTCCTGTAAGCACAGCGGTCATTTTGGATGGGGTCCACCCTAATGACCTCATTTTATTTAAATTACCTTTGTAAAGACCCTATCTCCAAATATGGTCACATTTTGAGGTATTGATGGTAGGAACTTGAGCATGAATTTTTGAGGAAGGCAGTTCAGCCTATAACAGATGACTAGAACCCTAGTTACCTTGTAAAACTTTCTTTCCATACGGGGGGGGGGGGGGAAATAAATTTTGATTATAATGTTCAAGATTTCAAAGTGCTAAATGTTAAAAAGTTGCTAAGTTAAAAGTGAGTAAGTCTCTGCACATTCCAGAGAAATTTTTAGCCCTAGGCTACAAAGATACATAGGGCTTCACAGGCTGATACTTTGTTATATGGCTTTCTCTGTGAATATTGCCTATAAATATAAGAAATTCAGTTAAGAATGCTGGCACTTTTTAAATATTTTCTGTTATATTCCACAAACAGGAAGAGTAGTTCTGCATCTAAAGCCACCACAATAAGTGAAAATGTGAGTATTTTAAAAACATTTTATTTATAGATCAGATGTGTTTAGGAAATAGGGCAGAGAAATGAAATAATTGTACAGAAGTGATGGATTGTCACTTTTAATATACTTTTGTCTTCTCGGGTCTATGATTAGTCTTTAGAAGGAGCTGAGTGAACGTCAGCTTCCATTCTCTGTCTGGGATGGTAGGATGAAGTTACCCCGCATTTGTAGATCAGGGGGGCTTTGCCATACCGTTCATCCTTTTTCTCATGTTTGCTATCAGTAGCCTCCTTAGCATCATTCGGTCTGATATTATCAGCTCCATTTCACAGATAAGAAAATTAAGACCCAAGTTCTCACAGATCCCAGTGGTGGGGCTGGATCCAGGTACCTCGATTCTTGTCAGCTTACCCAAGCAGATGGCTTCCCCTAGATCCGTGACTATAAGACTCTCCTTTGGTTATTCAGACAACCCGGAAAATTTAGGAATATGGAATATCCTCTGCTATTTCTGAAAGGAATATTTCAGAAATCTCTGAAGGGATACAATAATTATCTAATTCAGGTGGTTTAGGCAACATAAGTTGGACCCTTGTGTACTGATGCTTCTGTAAACACTATAGTGAAGCAGTAAATAACATCGTTGCTCAGATTTTGTAGCTCTTTGGGTGGGTATTCAACTGTCTGGATTTTTTTTTTTTTTTCAGGAATATGGGAGGTAAGGGAGGAAGGTTTCCAGTGTTTTTAGAGGTCTAACCCCTTTCTTAAGAAATGGAACACTGGTTCTCTGAATTCCTTGGCACTCAGTGGCAGGGATTCTCTTAGATTTCCTACACATAAAGCTAGGGGTAGCCAGTGGAAACCAGTATTTTTTTAAAAATTTTTTATTAACACATAATGTATTATTAGCCCCAGGGGTACAGGTCTGTGAATCGCCAGGTTTACACACTTCACAGCACTCACCGTAGCACATACCCTCCCCAATGTCCATAACCCCACCACCCTCTCCCTACCCGCCCCCCACCCCGGGCAACCCTCAGTTTGTTTTGCGAGATTAAGAGTCTTTTATGTTTTGTGGATACCAGTATTTTAAATGCTTGAGTGATTTTAAGTGACACTAATTTACAATCCACTTATTGTTCCATATTTTTTTCTGTCAAAATCTGATTTTTTAAAAATTGTCTACTCCAGATTCTCTCACAGAAGTCACTTTATTTTGTACTTTACCACGCCACAATCATATTATTCTTTCATTAGCAGATAAACAATACGTAACTCCATCATTTGTTCCTAGAATTTATAGAAAACACTCCTTAAATGTGGAATAAAGTAATCTTATTCTTCCAAACAGTAGGAGACACTTTGTGGCCATCAGAAGAGCAAAAACTTTTTTTTTTTTTTTGTCATTGTCTTCTTCCTGGTTGCCCTCATTCCACTGAGAGGTTGAGCCCCCCATTCTGGTTTTGCCATAAAGCCGATTTCTCAGTCTTGGCATTATTGACAATTTCTCATCATTCTTATATTGTATTTTCTTATGTAAATTCTGATATAATGAGTTCATACAATTTTGCATATTCTCTGGGGCGGGGGGCGCTGTACCATGCATGATAAGATGCTTAGCAGCACCCCAGCCTCTACCCTCTAGATGTCAGGAACATACCCCAAGCAGATAAGATTTCTCCTGCCCTAACTCCCATTCTGACTTCTTTACTCTTTAGGCAAAGTCTCAAAGACCTTGTTTCCTAGTATTTCTTTAATTCCCCATAAAATAGATTTAGTTCACTCTATGCTGGTTTGTACCTATGAGAGTCTCATAGTGCATGTAGCCTTATACTGATAAAATTTATATATTTCTTTAATTATGAGTTAATACATTGTACTTAAACTTGTTTTTTTCCCTTTTCTTAGGATTTCAAGCATACAAAATCCTTTATAATTTAAAAGAAGTCCACCTTTGAGATACGCCAAAACCACAGTTGTTACACAAGTTATTAAAAGATTGTAAAACTCTGCTTTGTCTTACATTTGCAAAGAGGTACATGAGATGAAGTTGGTATAATAAATTATCACGATAATTTTTTGATCGTTAAATTACTTGAAATTGTTAAACAAATAGTTCTGTCAGCACCTAAATAAAACTCAGTCTGACTTCTTGCGTCTGGACTAAGTTAAAAGAATCACAAAACTCTTACGAAATGTTAAATGTCCTAACTTCTAGAGGAACTTACTAAAATATATGATATTGATTGTGAAATTAATCCACAGAGCATGAAAATATATACTGTGCTCACCTTCTGTGCAACAGTCTGATTTAGAAGGTTAAGAAAATACTGACAGACAAAAAAGGAACCTCTGGTCTCATTTCTACCAGAATCCTCTTTTCTCCCTTAATACAAACCTTATTCCGCTGCTCATTTATCACTAATCTATTCACAGAAGGGAGGTAGGAGTACTGAGTTTTATTTCCAAGGATTTGTGCTTTGTGTTTATTTTTATTTCTGGGAACCAAAAGCAACATGAAAAAAAAATACCTAATGACCAGAGCCCACTCCCCGAGTGTGTGTCATTGATTTCTTCATTAAACATAATTTTGAGAGTCAAACACAAACCCAAGTGTGTTATTTCACTTGAGTTGTTTGTTGGTCTTTCCTTCCTCTAAGACTATTTTGAAGAGCAGCCTTGACCTCAGAACTCAGCACTGCACCTACACGCGTAACCTTGCAGACACCTTTCTCTGCGTGGTGGTGACTGCATACTAATTTTCATATGATTTTCTCTGAAAACCACGCAGTGAAATTCTGAGCTGGGCCGAGTCCCTTGCTAGCCAATCCTGCTTATTGCAGAGCCGGGGATGTAAAGAGAAGGGGCTATCTGACAAGCGAAACAAAAGAGCTCACTGTGGCTCTCCACACTTGTTGCCCTGCTTGATACATAAAAGACACAGGAGAAACAGTGGCCAAAGTGAAAAATCAGTCTCATCATCTGGTTTCTCCCCTAATTAATTGTAAGGCGTCCAACTAACAGTAAGAACAATTAGACTGTGTCAAAAAAGCATAATCTTTTATAACTTATTATGATTATTCAATTCATATAAAATATGGGTAACAAAATATGGGTGGGGCATTTCTCATTCTGGGAAAATCTGGATGAAACTTTGTCATGAACTTTGTCAACTTTGAACATGGTTAAGCTGCTTTTAAAGGAATCCATTCTTTTTTTCCATTAGACAAAGCAAATCCCAGGATTATCTGGACAAATGGTTTAAGCATTAGCATGTACCAGGACACCATACCAGGCCACTGGGAAGATGCCTGTTGTCAGACCATACCTTGCCCCCCACTTGTCTGTGGCACTGGGTGCTTCTCACCAGACTCCTTCCAACATTTTCTATGTAAAGGGCCAGACAGTAAATATTTTAATACTGGCCTGTTACAATTACTCAACTCTGCCTTTGTAGCACAAAAGTGGCCATAGACAATAATAAACAAATAGCACATTTGTGTTCCAATAAAACTTTATTTATAAAAATGGCAGGTGCAGACAGGATTTGGCTCCTTATACCTGGTTTCCCAACTCCTGGTGGTGAAGCATGAGAAAAATACCTGTCTGTAAACTTTTGCAGAAATTAAGCTAAATGTTGCCCATGCTTTGATTTGCTTTGGTATGAGGAATGCTTTCTTCTTGCATTGCCAAGTGTCAAGAGTATATGTGAGTCTCCAAGGGCCACCTCAGGGGGCGTCTGGGTGGCTCAGTTGGTTAAGTGTCTGATTCTTGATCTCAGCTCTGGTCTTCTTGATCTCAGGGTTATAAATTCAAGCCCCACATTGGGTTTCACGCTGGGCTTGAAGCCTACTTAAAAAAAAAAAAAAAAAGATGGCTCCCCAGGCATACCTACCATCACATAAGATTAATTTCTTCCACTTAAATGATACAAATCCATGTTGTGGAGGAAAATACATAGTGCCTTAGCTTTACCAACAGATGAAAGCTTCTGAGCCATTTGGCTAGAGGATTCATCTTATGAAGTATTAACATACAACACTTTCTTTGAGTCAAATATATATTAAATATCATCTTACCATATTATATGTAGCTAAGTAGATGTCATTGTGTGGAGAATGCTTTCTCCCACACAAAGGATATACTATTGAGCACTCATTTTCCATTTATTGAAAGTATATCGATTTGTGTCTGGACTTGTGCTTCCATTTGCTTTTGAGGGACTTGAATATTAACAATTGGTAAAACCCCATTTCATAGAGCATTTTATTTTCCTGCAGTAAAATTGTATTGTATAAGGATTAGGGCTCTGAAATCTCTAATAGAAAGTTTCGCTTTGTTTTAATTATCCTTGTTGCTCCTATAACTAGATTTATTTTTAGTTGTAGGTTTAACCTTACTAAATCTGGAACAATTGATTGTTTTTTAGTACAACTTTGCAAAGACCTTCCCTCAACTCACGAGTGGCTTTGTTTGATGAAAATCTACATTAATAAAAATAGCTGAACTTGTTCAACTTTTTAGGTCCATTTAACCGGAGCAGGGCAAGAGTCATCCACCTATTGTTCAGTAAAACCCGGGAAACTACACCCTCTCACCATCTGTGGCTACAAGGCGAGTTCTTTAGTTGCTTAAGATTAGAACCTCATCATCTTTCATCTGGCTGCCTGCCAACCTCTCAAATCCTGACAAATATGCTCTGCAAATAAAAAGTCAAAACTATTGAACATTTTATATATGTCAGGCAGGGGTGTATACAATCCCCTGTATACAATCTCATTCATCTCAACGGTATTACCTATCATGAAGCATCTGGGTGGCTCGGTCAGTTAAGGGTCCGACTCTTGATTTCAGCTCAGGTTGTGATCTCAGGGTCATGAGGTGTAGCCCTGTGGAGCCTGCTTGAGATTCTCTCTCTCCCTCTGCCCCTCTCCTAAATAAATATTTTTTTTTAAAAAAGTTGGTCATGTCATCATTGGCAGACAAGGAATCTGAGACTCAGAGTCAGTGCACCAAGTTCGCAGAAGTAAGTGAGGACTCATGGTTTACAAGACCCAGGTCCATCTGCTCCTGGATGTTTCACGCAAGGTGGTTTATTTCTTACCCCCAACAAACATTCCCTTCAAATTCTTAAGTTTCTCTCTTGTGCCACACCTTCCCTTCACCCTTAGTAACCTCTGGCAAGTTGACCCCTCCCTAGGCTCACAGCTTGCAGCATTGTTCTGTCTTCCCTGTCCCCACAACCCAGTCTCAGTGCTGTGGTGGGCCCTTCCGTTCTCATCCACTCTTCCGTCACCACAAATGCCAAAATCTCTAATCTTGTTTTGTTTTGTTGTTGTTGTTGTTTTTTAATCTTGAAGCTAACTAGGATGACATTTAAATTCCAGCAGTCCTACCCTTCCTATCTCTACATCTGCCCATCCTCCACCTCCCCTTACTCATCCACTGCACCCTGCACTGGCTCATTCCGGATTGTCACTGCTTTCATCCTTTTCACTTCAGGCCTTTGTTCCTATCTCAAGTTTTATCTTTTTTTTTTTTTGCTTTCAAGTTTTGTCTTCTGGGACCTTCCTCCCTCAAATACTCTCTCCCTTAGTTGGACTTCTATCTCAACGACTACCAGATTACACTCTTAAGCAATGCCAGTCCACTCCTCCCTTTTCTCCCTTCCCCTTGCTAAAAATCTTCCACTCTTTTCCTTTACGGAGCTCATTACCAAGGGCTAAATTCCTTACCCAGGGGTTCAAGGCTTCCCCCCTCGCCCACACATACACGTTTTATCATAACTGTCACAACCTACCTATCTAGCCAAATGTTCCACTGTTCTACTTTGGTTGCCTTCTGCACCCATCAAACTGAACTAGGGTCCTTTTATTTAAAAAATGCAATGTTTTCCCCCTGGAATGCTGATTCTCCCCATCAACAGAATAGGTAAATTCTATTTACTCTTTAAGGGACAGCTCAAATTTCACCTTCTCTGTGAGGCTTTTCCTCATTCCCCCTCCTGGAAGAAGTTTCTTTCTTCTCTGAGTTTCCATAGCACTTGGTTGATTTTTTTTTTAATGGCAATTGTTGGTTTTTATTTCATAATACAGTTGTACATGAATTAAACAGTATCTGATGTGGGGTTGGTATCTAATAAACGCTGAATGAATTTTTTAAAAAAGAGCACTTGTGAAAGGGCAACTAAAAAAATTGATAAAATTTCTCCACAGGTTTAGATTATTAATAAAATATTGTATTCTGCAATGTTATTATCATCCAGTTCATTTATTATGCAAAGTGACACAAATTATTACTCCATGAATTAAAGCTGGACAGAAACTATTTCCCTCTTTTCCCACTCCTTTGTTATTAGGCATCCATTTCCACACAGTTCTTGAAAAGATCTTAAGGTATTTTTCCAACTTTCAAGTTTTAAAATTTATTCTTCCATCCTATGTTTCTTATTTCCGGTTTTCCATCCTTAATTTTCCATACTTTGTTCTATAAGGGTTTGTGACACTTTTAGTAGTAATACCTGGTCAGGAAATTCAAGGTAAACTGTGGATACTGTTAAAAAAGAGACTACGTACTCTAAAATGGAGACACTTGTACTAAGTCCAAACCGTTAAACCAAAACTTTCATACCGAACTTAGTTTCAACCTCTCCTAGGAGTGGAATCTAAAAGGTCAACCTGGAATTGCCTGGTCAATCTAGTGAGGTAATCTGCCCCATAGACCCCTCCAGTCCTCTAAAGGAAGGTGACCTTGCCATAGCCAATCCACTCTGCTTGTAACTTCCCTGTCCCACCCCTTTCTGCCTATAAAAGCCATTTCGTGTAGCTCTTCAGGGGACTTTTCTATATGTTAGACTGACTGCTCCCTGATTCGTAAGACTTCCTCAGTTGAATTTCATTTAACACTTTCTAATTACTCTTGTTTATGATTTTTTAAAGTAAGCTGTATTTTTATTCGCCCAAGTTTAAAAAAAAAGTACTGAGACATACAAAAGTATAAAATGTCTTTATGCTTTCTACTAACAAAATGCTCTCAGAATAAGTGAATAGTTGTGTCAACAAACAAAGGACCTGTGTAAGTTCTCTAAGACTGAGGGCGGATTGATTTAAAGGTCCACTTCATCCTGTTTTTAACACTGAATGTGTTACTTACAAGTGCTTCCTAAAGATGGTGTAAAAACTGAAGCTTCCTAAGATATGTGGTTGGATTTCTGACCTTGCCAGGTGACTTTCAATTCTCAAACTCAATTTCTCTCCAAATATTTAACTAACAAAAATTATGCTAAAGTTACTATATGTCAAGAAAATTGTTTTTCTTATATTTTAGGATAACATATAGCAAAGAACATGAGAAAAGGCATTATACATAAAGATAGGATACATTTGTGTTAACAGAATGTTGATTAGGCCATCTTCTGTTGCCCCAAGGCTGAAGATAAGTACCTCCTAAACCATCAACAACTTAGGTACAGATACCCCCTTGGATGTTTATGAAGATAACGGTGCTACCCTGAAATCATTACCCCAGTCCTCTCCCTTTTACCCTAGCACACAAGCTCGAATGGACGGATTGAGGGTGGGGAAGAACTGAGAGACTGAATTGTCCAAACTGTGAGACAAAATGAATTTGTCCAAGTTATGCATTTTATTAGCCAACTCATCCCCAAGTACGGGGAATTTTAAAGAGAATCGCTTGGAAAAAATGAAGGCAGTTGCCAAGAAGGAAACAGCTATTTGTGCAGGGAGAAAGAGTTGGAAAAAGTCATTAAGATAGAAAGGGGAACGGTGAAGCACCTATTTTCCCATGATTTCTTAGGACAAAGATATATGAATTTCCCATGGTCGTCTGGGCATCATAGAAAGTAGCACGCCTTGAGCCTCTTGCCAGTGTCTTACTGAGATAAAACATCTGAAACAAGTTGGACTGAGATGGGAACAGAGAGGAGTTTGGAAGAGAAGTAGTAGTTGGAGCAGACCTCCCACTTAGGGTAATCTGTGCAATGGGAAGACCTCCTAGCACACAGAGCCCCCCAAGAACCTATACACACAGCACCTACCATTTATAGGCCTACGACAGCAAGGGCAGCAAAGGAGAACTAGTAATTGCCAAAACCAAAAAATCCTACACTAAATGATTTAAATAAAAATCGCCTGAAACAGAAGCCCTGTTTGGTTATTATTATTGAATGTAACAGACATTATGACCCTTTCCAGCTCTCTGTACCTTTCAACTCAGTTTCCTCCTCTTATAAGGATACTGGCTAGATTGGATTCAGGCCCACCCCAAAGACCCAATTTTAACTTATTCCCTGTTAAAAGTCCTGTCCCCAAATACACCCACATTGTAAAGTTCTGGGGGTTAGGATTTCCACAAATGAATTTTAGGGAAACGCAGTTCAACCCGTAACACCAGGCATAGGAGAAAAAAAACCATTTTCATTATGAAAACGTAGACGGTTGAGGTTGTTTTTAACAAACATCTAAGGTGTTAAGTTTAGGATAAAAAGTGCACTGGCAGACTGAAAAGGCAGAGAAAGGCTGGAGTTGCACAGTTGGGGCAGCCTCATCAGAAAGAGGAAAGGGCTCTGAAGAAGATGAGGGCTTAAACATCCAGCTGAAAAAAAGATCACTTCCCTGGTCAAAAGTTAGTAATAAATGCCCAGAGATGTAGGGCATGGGAGTAAAGTACTTAACACAGTGTTCTTGTAACCAGTCATAAACACAATCCTTATTGTTTACAGAATGAAGGAAGATTGGGATGTTCCAGCAAACTCCAAATAGTTGCAAGACAGGTTTTTTCAAAGTGTTATGAGACAGTAGATGTGAAATTATAAAAGGTCCAATTCAACTAAACTGAGTGGGGGAAATAAGGGAATAAGAAGGGAGGGGAAGGCTGTGCTGACAAGGGTCAGGCCCTTCTCTAGACCAGCAATTGCACTGTGGACCCCAAGGCAGCTAGCCTGCCACAGGTGGATGGCAGTTGCTTCAGGGGAGGTTAGAGAAAGGACCTGAGCAACTAGACTTCCTCAATTACTTTTAAATAATACTGTAACCAAACACTATTTCAATGTCTACAACTAGTTAAATAAAAGTAGTTCAAGGGACCAGTCACTGCTTACCATCATTTGAAGAAACCGGGCCGTTTCTTCCTACTGCTTTACCCTTCCCAATTCCAACTCTGCACATCTTGCTCATATAATCACAGCTGTGTCATTAGGAAATGGTTACAGAAGACTTTGGGAACGGTATTTGTAAGTGGGCTTGATTTCAGCTAGAATGGCACAACACAGTAAAAATCTATTCCTCTTTTGAAGTGAGCTAAAATGCATTAAGAAAGCTGTTTTAGGACTTCATTAAAAAAAAATCTATAAAGGTTTATTAACACCCATATTTATTGATAGAAGTCAGTTTGTCAGATATGAAAAGGCACAGCAGTTTCCTTCTTAAGAAAAATAATCTCCTTAAGAGCTATCTCTAGTAACCAAAACTTTGATGTGCCTGCTACGGCACCTATCTGGTACATTATTTGCTGGCTTCCATCACCTGGGTAAAATCACACCATATGGCCTCATCTTTCAAAGGAGGTTCCTTTGTAGAACACCCACCCTGTCTCAACTTTCCTTCTTCTGGCTGGAGAGCACAGTAGTAGCCTCTGATCATAAACTGCGAGGGAAGAGGAGGGACCTGGGCTGTTCGGATGAAAGCATATAGCATTTGATGAGATGGTAGTTAGAACACAAGGGATGTTCCTGTGTATATTCAAACATAACTTGAGTTTCCTGGAAAAGGTATGATAAAGATTTATAAGGCATTTCTTTATATTCTGGGAGTGGATATAACATCCTTCTGCAGCAAACATTCCTTAGCTCAGGGTGTCTCGTCTCAGGCAGTGAAGTTTCCAGGACTAAAAAGGTAGCCCTGCACACTGAGAAGAGTCTGGTGGGTTATGGGAAAGTTCTAGCCGGTTTATCCAAGGTATCCATCTGATTCATGATAACCAATGGGAGGATTTAACAATGATGCAGAGACACAGAATTCAATATACTCAACTGCAAACCCAACATCACCAAATAATTTATTTGGAATCAGAATTAAAAGAACATTTGACAGTTGAGAAACGTATGTTTATTCTGATACAGTTGTACAACTGATCTAGAACAAATTGTCAAATGAATTTTACATTATTTCTTCAAGACTGGGGTTTTTCAATGACTTCAAATTTAGGATCTAAGAAAAAAAAAAAAGAAGGTTCAAGCTTAGCCATATTGCATTATGACTAAAATGCATTATCTAGAAATCTTTAATTCATCAATCTTCTGATTTTTCTTTTTTTTAGTGAATACTGTTTTTAAACACCTACATGGAAACATAACAATTGCTAAAGGTTTATTCAGCACTTACTATAAACCAGGCTCTCTATTAACTGACTTCACATACATTAGGTCATTTAATTACAACCACAAAAAAGATAGAATTCTCCCTAAATATCAGGTGAGAACAGTCACCAGTTAACTATCCAAGATCACACACCTCATAGATGATCTTGTTAATTAAGACTCAAGATCAGGGAGTTTGATTTCAGATCCCCACCACTAACCTGTTATATGATCTCCTATACCAATGGCAAACATTTACACCAGAGCTTCTCATGCAAATATCACTGTCCAATAAATTTATGTGTGATTGTCATTTAATCATCTGAACAATCCAAGTAAGTATAAAGTAGAAATATGCTCAACTTAAAATAATCTCTCACTGAATTCATGATTAAAGACACTTACCTTCAAATTTGAAGTCCGGGAATGTATTCATGTCTGCTTTACCATACATCTGCTTAAGCTTAAAAAGTTCCCTCTCTAGGTCTTGCTGGTATTCTGGGCCAGTATCAACCGGTCCTCCAGATGCCCTATTGTGTAAAAGAGCAGGTAAAAACTCATGCACTAGTTTACAAAAACAAAATTACTTTTCACCATCAAGTTTCAATATATCTTTTCAAAAGTATCACATGGGAAAAATACTCTTTCTGAAAAAAAGTGTATCCATTTGAATTTCAACTCAAACTTTTTTTTATAATGTTTCACATAAATGAGGCAACTTCAAACTTCTAACATGCAAGGTCTGGAGTATCAATGATGTTTATTAAGTCAGACTCTCTTGAGGTCTAAACTGCAGGAAGATATGATGGCTAAATCCATGGGCTCTTGGGAGTCAATGACTGCTTCTGCTTGAATGTCAGCTCTACAATGTATTAAAACTGCATAAACCCGAGCAAGGCATGAAGCACTCTGAATTTTAGTTTCCATATCTAAAACTAAAGGTCCTACCTAATGGTGGTATTGTGAGAATTATAGAGATAATGCACATGTACCACTCAACACAGTACCTGGCACGCAGAGTGGTGACATAGTGGTCAATAAGTGTTATCTATTTTTATAACCTGATTTAAATCAGCCACCACTGGGCACCTGGGTGGCTCAGTGGTTAAGCCTCTGCCTTCAGCTCAGGTCATGATCTCAGGGTCCTGGGATCGAGTCCCTCATTGGGCTCTCTGCTCAGCAGAGAACCTGCTTACCCACCCTCTCTGCCTGCCTCTCTGCCTACTTGTGATTTCTCTGTGTGTGTGTCAAATAAATAAATAAGATCTAAAAAAAAAAAAAAAAAAAAAATCCACCACTAAATGGCTTCTAAAAGATCTTAGTAACTTTAAGTCTCTATACCATGGGCCTAACAAAGAAGCAGATATTTCCTACCCTCAGAGACTTTGCTATTTAGGAAAAAAAAAAAAAAAAAAAACATGTTTATGCAAACATTTGTGCTACAAGAGTTATTGATGAGCTTCAAAGACACAGTTTATCAAACAGCTACTCAAGTTGAGGACAGCGCACTTTTGCTAATTAGGAAAAATTTCATTTTAAAAAGGTGGCATTTGTGACAAATCATGCATTTGAGTCAGATTTTAATTTCATACATTCTAAGACTGAAAAAGCAAATATATGGAGGTAATAAAGAACTAGCTGTATATGGAGAATATAAGTCATCTAGATGAAAAAGCCAGCAGGACCCAGGTCACGAGAGGCCTGGAATGTTAAGTCTGGGACTTTGTATTTTATTTACTAGGCAGTAAAATTATATTAGAGTTGTGCTTTGGGAAGATAAATATAGCATCATGGACCAGCAGTGGGACTAATCAGATCTAATAATTCTTTGCATTAATTCTGTGTTTGTCATGTTACTGCCACCTATCAATGAACAATAAACAAAACTTTACAAGTGAAATTATATTATATATATATAATAATATTTTCACATGACTATGATAAAAGTATAGGGCCTTACATATGTTACAGAATTTCCACAAAAACATAGAGACAGCTCTAATTTAAGAACTCGTTAATGATGTTGGTTGTCATGGACCCCATTTTCTTCTAGATCAGCAGATGCAACAGAACTTTCTATAATGACAGAAATGCTCTGTATCTATGCTGTCTCATAAGGTAGCTACTAACAAAACCTGGCTAGTGAGCACTAGAAATGTGACTAAAGTGACTGAGGAACTGAATTTTTATTTATACTTAATTAGATTTCAATAGTCACATGTGAATAGTGGCTAATGAAATAGACAATAGAGGTCTATAAAGAGCCTTCAACCAGATACTTTTAATGATTGTCTTCCAGCTCCGGGAGCTACAAGTTTAGAAACTGCCTTAAGAAAAAAAAAAAAAAGAAAAAGAAAAAAAAGAAACTGTTTTAAGAGAATCCAGCCAGTCTCATCAATATACTGGTTACTGACAGATGATGGCTATTTTAACTTTAATATGTACTCTTATGATAAGGAAGACAGGTATCACCCAGATATCACCTACCTCCTCCACGGAGTATGTCTCCTACACCATCTTATTACAGCCCCAGAACCTAGCATAGTGACCAGGACAAAGTAGACACTCAGGATACTTGTTTATTTCACTTAAAATATACTAGGCTAATTGATTGAGTCACTAAATTTTTGTAACATCTTACGAAATAGTACTGTTATCATTATCCCCATTTTACATACGAATAAAGTATAGAGGTTAAATAAACCTGCCAAAGTTCACAGAGCTAGGAAGTGTCAGAGCAGCATTCCAGGCAAGACTCTATGAGCAGAACATTTCTCCGCACCATATGCACAAATGAATGAATTATAGGCTCCTTAGATTAAGAGTACACCTCAGGGGTACCTGGCTGACTCAGTGGCTAGAGCATGAAACTCTTGAGGGCCCTGAGTTTGAGCCCCATGTTGGACATAAAGCTTACTTTCAAAGAAATAAAATAAAGAGAGTCCACCTCAAGACTGACTTATTGGATAGCTTAAGTACACACAGCACCTATACTAAGACATTACAATACCTCTGGACAGGAGACACATTCCCCAACCAGCCCTGCAAATCTGCTTACTGAACAGTGTGATTTTAGACAAATTCTAAACTTTTCACCTTGCTTTTCTCAAATATAAGATGGGGATAAGATCTGTTAAGATTGTTGTCAGAATTTCATTTTAATCCCTTTGCTCTCTCCCTCCTTCATTCTGCTAAGGACAAAACCTTTTTGTTAGTTGCCCTGTCTCAAAATCTCAGAGTTCTTTAACTGATCCCTCCTGTCTCTCCACTAGGTACTAAAGACCAGTTCTTACTCTCTCAATGTCTTGACTGTCACTTTTATATTTCCACTGCTATGAAAATAAAATTCTCATCAACTAATGCTTGAATTATTACATTTTCCTACCATGCCTGTCTTCCTTTTTTAATTCAATTGTTCTAACACTGTGATTGAAATTGTCATCCTGATAGAGTTCTATCCCATCATCCCACTCAAAAACCTTTAATTGCTCATAAATGCCTATCATATACTACCTTAACTGCCCATCTACAATCAAGGCCTCTCATAATCCCCTCATTTTTATCCCATTCCTCTTCTTTCTGCTCCCTACACTCCTCATACACTCTACAGTCCTGGGAAATAACATGATGCAATCTTCCAAATATACTTTGTGGTTTCAAGTTTTCATACCTTAGCTCACCATTCTTTCCTCCTAAAAGATTCTCCTCCAACTCCCATTTATCTGTCCGACCTTCACACCAATTGTTCATAAGCTGGATGAGACCCTTAGTTATGGATATTTACCATAACTTCCATGGGTTTGAGAACACTTTCAAGCTATGAGCAGAATCATGTGAGTAAATTCTTCACTTTTTTAAAACTGAGATGATGATCCATAGTTATCCATATTCTCAAAAAGGAAAAAGGACCCCCAACAGAGCTTTCAAAGCTAAGATAAAACAATCACTCTTGCAATCTACCTTGCAGAATGCCTCTAGCTATAAAGGAGCATTCCTTCTTATGAACTCCCCAAACACAGACTGTGTCACTACCTTAGATCTAATGCATTTTACCTTATATATTAATTTATATATGCCTATAAGCTTTCTACACCTATCAAACTTCAAGAATATATGAAAATGCAATATGGCTTCTTTCTGTGCTCCACCCCCTGCCCTGGCCATTAATAGCTCAGTGCTTTGCCCATGCTAGACAACTAAGCAAAACAGAACACTGAACAGATGTATGTCACTTTTCCTAACACTTGGGGGTTGAATTTGATGGCTAAGGTCATCTTTTGTCTCCAAAACTGTGTGATATAATTGTGTTTATCCTGGACTTGCTTTAAGCCATTTCAGTCTTTTGTCCTTTGACCTTCCCAGAGATACAGTACTACGGAAAATGCATTAAAGAGAAAAATGCTGTGTTCATACATTCCCCCCAAATCATGATGTCACAGAAAGAACACTAAATCGAGAGTTAGAATATTTCAATAATATGTTTTTCTTCCTATAAGTTTTTATGACTTTAGGCTAATTAATGTCTAAGGGACTTAGTTTTCTGAAATACAATTCCTAAATGATTTCCAAGATCTCATGTACTTCTAAGCATTGACTCCAGTTTATAATAAATGACATTATAATAATGATATGGTTAAAATGACAAACAAAGATTATATGGGTCCCTTGGGACCCATATAAAGAAAATAAAATTTGGGACTTAAAAATTAAGATTTTTATCTTCTTTTAGAGCACCTAGTAAACTTCTATGTCACAGATCAGCTCAGTGAAGATCTTAGACACTTTCAAACACCAAGTAATTTTTTTCCCCATCTCAAAACTTACATACTTTGAATATTTATATTTACACCATGAGTAATTATCTACCCACTTACTGTCGTTTAGTTCTGTATTCTCTAATCTTGTCCACGAACAGTTTCTGTACAGGATCAAGTTCCTTATTAAATGCCACTGCTGTAACACCAATGTTCCTCCTCAAATGAACTGAGACCGCAGATCGAATGAGAGAGGAGAACCTGAAGAGCCTTTGAAGAATCATGGTGATTCTGTCATTGAAAACAAGCACCAGAATGTTAATATAGTTTAAAATACATATACTTTATATATATATATGTGTGCATATATATATACATATATATAATAAAAACACCTCTATATATATCATATAGTGGGAATCTAACTCCATTCACTGCTACAAACTCAATCATAAATCATACCAGAACTCACTGAATGCTAAGTGCTCAAATCATAGTCTGTGGACCAGCAGTAGTATAAGAATTATTATGGAAACTTACAGAGCAATTTGACATAGTAATATATATTTGCTGAATAATAAATCGATTGGTATTCTGTGTGTCTTCGCCCTACTGTCTTTCACCTCATTTTTTCAGTAACTCATTTTACTTTTTTTTTCCAAAGTAGCTGCAAGGGTTGGGGGAAAAAATGATCCTCTACCACTAAGAGTTTAAGAAGCATTAAGAAGACAGTACAGTAACACAGTCGTTCTTGAGTAGGGGTGTCAGTATCCGGCAAGAGATATTTGAGTTTTGGTTGTTCTGACTTGGGTGTTGCTGGCCCCTAGTGGGTAAAGAAGAGAACAAACTGAGGGTTGATGGAGGTTGTTGGGTGGGGGGAACAGGCTAGATGGGTGATGGGTAATATGGAGGGCACTTGTTATAATGAGCACTGGGTTGTATGTAAGTGATAAATCACTGAAACCACTATTGAACTGTATGTTAACCAGAATTTAAATAAAAATTTTGGGGAAAAAAAGACTACCAAAAGAACTCCCATAGTAAACAAAATATCCTTCACCTACCAGGATGAAAGCAAAGTACCTGAAGAAATTAAAGAATTCACCATATATCACTTACACCTCATCAAAGAAAAATACTTAAGACTCCAAGCAAACAACAAATAACCTTAAAGTGCTACTTATTATCATTTCCATTTTACATACACAGAAACTAAGGCTTAGAGATTAAGTATGTGGCACAAGGTTACACAGTAGAATCTGACTGGACACAGACCTATTTTAAAAATTGTGCTTCAAGGTATATTTTCCCCTCTGGAAACTTACGGACATACTAACAGTCATCAGTAAGGTCATTTCAGCCCAAAATACTTTGTGGAGTACTTCCATATATATTCTCTCTTTGTACCGTTGGGTGATACTGTTAAGAACTAGAGGAAAGTGGTCTAATCTCCTTTACAGATAATAAAACTATGCCTAAGAAAAATGATTACATTGCCCATTTTCCCACAGTTAATTTGCTCTGACTCTTGCAAAAATTGTGTCATTCCTACTAAATAAAATCCATTTTCATTTTTTCATTCCATCATCTACTATTTTTTTTAAAGTAAATTCTATACCCAACGTGTGGCCTGAACGCCACACCAGGAGATGAAGAGTTGCATGCTCCACCGACTGAACTAGCCAGGCACCCCTCTACCACCATCTAAGTAGTAATGGTTCCCAAATCACAACTCTAATCTTGGCCTTTTTCCTGAACCGCAAATCCATACATCCAACAGGTCTCTTCCCTTCATAAATCCTCAAATTCAACTTGTCTAAAAAATTAATAAATAGGGGCACCTGGGTGGCTCAGTGGGTTAAAGCCTCTGCCTTGGGCTCAGCTCATGATCTCAGGGTCCTGGGATGGAGCCGCACATCGGGCTCTCCGCTCAGTGGGGAGCCTGCTTCCTCCTCCTCTCTCTCTCTGCCTGCCTCTCTGCCTGCTTGTGATCTCTGTCAAATAAATAAGTAAAATCTTTTAAAAAAATTTAATAAATAATCCCACTATCAAAACTTGTTCCTTTTTTATTCCCTTTGATTTTTTTTTTCGCTGATTAACGTAGGAGTGTCCACCATCAGTCCACTGTCGTGCAGAAAACACGTTATTACACAACTAGGTGTAAAATACAAACTGGCATAAGTTCTCTATTCAAGCACTATGGGATGCCACGAGAACCGGTGACACGGATTTGACACAGAAAGACTGGAGAAGGCAACAGCAAAAAAGGGTACACATTCGCAGAGAACCTGTGGTGAAAGCGCACGGTTCTCCAGTTGACAGAGATGACTGACTAGCCAGCCATAGGTTAGTCCTTTCACCGCCTCTTCCGTGCATATTCCTAAAGTCAATCCACAACCCGCCTAGCCCGACCCGTTCTCTTCCTCCTCGCTGGAAACCCTGTTTTGTCCCGTCTGCGAACTTCGGCCTCACCCCTAGTTCAAGCACCCCCCTGATCCCCAGGCAGCATCCTGTTTCTTGGCGTTGAGGTGTAGGATTGTGCTGGAAAGCGAGAGCGGAGAACAAAGCTGCACAATCAGTATTTTCAGGCAGGATGCAAACTTTTAAAGATAACTATCACCCATTTCCCTCTTACGGTGCACATTCCGCTTTCCATAGTGGGGCAAAATTTCCCGCACTGCCCAGCAGGGCAGGCCTGGCTGCAGACCGGCCCTGAGGGAATGACCTTGGGCTGCCCCAGCTGGGCCGGGTGCCCAGGAATCCCTGGCCTCCCTGCCTCCCGTACCACCCAGGGTTGCCTCAGAGCAAGTATTACCAGGCCTGAATACCGAGTCTACCCCCAACTTCAAGGCCTAAAAGCGGCGAGATCAAAAGTGACCCTGGGCCAGGCGGTGAAGGTGCCCGGGACAAAGGGCTGCTTTATACTCCTGAAAAAAAGAAGTAACAGGCAGCCCAGGCCTCGTAAGAAACCCGGAATCTGAGTCCCAAGAGGCCAAGCTAGTCTAGCTACCTTCCGAGTCACCTTGCACTCAGTCCGGAGCTGCCAGAGCCTCAGCGGCCGCCACCGTTCTACTTCCGGCCCTGGCTCCGCCCCCACCCGCCTACCCGCCATCGCAATGCATTATGGGCCGCCGTTTCAGTCGGTCGACACTCACCGGACAGGAAACGTCTCGGAGGCGGTCTGCGACCGGACGGCTCTAGGTGAGACAGAAGCCAAACAGGAGGAGGAAGTGGAGGGTAAGTGCTTCCGGGTCTCTTGGCGAGCCCTCCGCCATCTTTCCTTCGCCCAACTTGACCTGCTGTCTTTTTACCTCCTGGAATCCTGCTTGTTTACGCATGCGCACTTTGACTGGCCTTTTACCTAGTTCAGTCCTGCCGGACCCAAGTCAGCATCCTGTTCTTTGGGGTTGTTGAGGTGTATGATTAAGCCCGGAAAGTTAGAGTGTAAAACAAAGCTGGATTGGGGCGTTGGGCTCCAGTGTGCCTCGCGAGCCTCCGTTGCCTCGGGCGTTCGTTTCGCGCAACCTGCTGGGAGTTGTAGTCCCGGACCCGGGGGTGCCTGGGAGGAGGGGGGGGTTGGAGTTTCTCAGCGCCGATTCCGCGGGAAAGGCCCAGGGGCCTCACACTTCGAGTCGCGGGAGCTGCGGGTCTTACTGGGAGAGACGCTGCACGTGGAGCCCGCGCCCCTGCTGTTCTCAGCCGGCTCTGGAGCGCGGGTGGGGGCGACGGGGCCGATTCCGGAGCGGGTGAGTGCGGCCGCGGGGGAGGAAGGGAGCGCGGGCCCGCGCGGGCCGGCCTCGTTCCGGGGCCTTCTCACCCACAGCGGCCCCCCCGCGGCCGCCTCTGTGTTTTGTTTCCGCTGGTCCCCGGCGCTGTGACTCCCATTTCCGTTCGTGGAGACTTGAGGGAGCCGGGTGGGGAGGGGCGGGTGAGGCAGTGCGGGGAGCGGAGGGGAGGGGAGGGGCGCGCGGCGCGGGGCCCTGGGAAGCCGCGCGTCCCCGGGCCTCCCGTGTCACCTTTCGCTGCTCCCTTTCCTTGCTGTCCCCTCCTCGCCTGTGCGCCGTCCGCGGCGGTCCGCGGTCGGGATGAGATCCTGACGCCCCCAGTATTTCAGAGGAAGGTGCAGAACCAGTCTCCTCGCCAACTCAGCGTTGCGCGCTCACTTCACTTCCAGCTGTCTTTTAGAACTGCCCCACAGTTGCGTCAAAGCCGTTTATTAATGTATGGGGTGCCCATAGGGGTTTATTTTAGAAACGAGGAAGTAAGAGAAGGGGAAAATGATGGGTTAATGTAGCTTGCCAACATCTTTAGTATTTTGTGTCCTGGAAGATAAGCCGTTTGTGCGTGTTTGCAGTGTATTTTAGGGATCCTAGTTTGATTAGAGTAATAGCAGTGTTAATAACAGTGCCTAATATTGTCCTGCAAGATGATGAGTAATGATGTAGAAATAGTGTCCACTTCATAAATAGTTTTCCACTAACGAATTCCACTAGCAGGAATTCCAGGTCTGGCGCGTGGGAGGAGCAAAGATTCCCGGTTCCCGGGAGCAAAGAGCTGGGCAGTGATAACATTCTTAGGTACTGTGTTATCTTAAGCTCAAGAAGAAATTGACCGGCTCTTTAGAAGCAACTTTAGGGGATTAACCTGTCTCAGGGTTTTGATCCAGGTTTTCCAAGGTTTTTCTTGTTTTTTTTTGTTTTAAAGACATATTCTGACATCAGCTGGACATAAGGCAGTTTTACCTGAATTGCATATATGCATGTCATGAGGGATATATAGTGTTGAAGTATCAAAATAAGGAGCTAGATGTTAAGTTGAGGTGAGTTATGAGGCCATGGGGAGGCTGGATACTAAATTAAAACAGTTGAGTTAAATCTCTCTCCAACCTTTATTTATAAAACTTCAAATCTACATTCCTGGAAAACAAATTAGACAGAGAAAACCTCCCCGGGCGGGGGTGGGGGAGGTGGTCACCAAGTGTTAACCTTTTTTCACACTTTCATTCTCACTCTCTACACACACAGATGTTTGTGCTTTATTTTTTCTTAAATTGTTGATTTTATTTTTTTTTAAATGTCTTTTAATTTCTTATGATTTTAAAAGTATCTTTTAGCTTGGGAAAATGTGCTGTCAATCCTGCAGGTACTCTCATACTAATATTTAGGAATTCTTTATGTTCCTTCAGTGGGCAAAGTTGTCCTAAATTCTGTAAACTAGTAATGCATCCCAATGAGGAAATACAATCCTTAAATTTGTGGCTCCAAAAGAGAATGTTATAAACATAACTGTATTTTAAGAAAACTAGCCTTTCTAGGAATTTTTACTTAATTCGTATGGTTTTTGTGAAGTGTTCTGAACCCCAGGTTAGATTTAATCTAAGAAAAACCAGGGCATCAAGGGGCAGCTCTTAGGTGAAGAGGTTCCACATAATGTTCTTGTCTCTATTTTTATAAGTATTGACATAGAATTCTGGAAAATTGGTTCCAGAAAAATAGCTAAGACACACTCAAGCACTGATACCAAAGATTTGGATAACTTCCCAAACCTCTTCCACTGCTTCTCCCCACTAGATTTAGAATGAGAAAGAGATCAATTCAGAGATCTTCAGGTAGGGTGATTTTTTTTTCCCCAAAACTGTGTAAGCTCATTTTTTGCTTCATTTGACACCTTGCGGGCAAATAATCTTTAGGTTTTTTGGAAGATCGCAGGATAAATTTCTTTTAAACAGCTCCCTGTTTTAGTGCTTGTATTAAGTCCAACTACAGTTATCCCTGCTGAGAAGTCTATGAGGCCATTTCTCAGCTTCTAGTTACTTCCTCTTTCTATTTTTCCATAGTTCCCAGAAATATCACTTGTTTTCTAATTTTTCTTTCTTAAAATTGGCTATGGAGGGGCACCTGGCTGGCTCAATAGGTAGAGAGTGTGACTCTTGACCTGAGGGTCATGAGTTCAAGCCCCAGGTTGGGCATGGAGCCTACTTAATTAAATAATAAAAAATAAATAAATAAGTAATAGAGGTAAGAGTGGATGATGAGTGTAAGCCCTGAAAATAAAACATAAGTGTTTTTTTTTTTTTTCTCTTAAGAGTTATTTGTTCATTAGAGAGAGAGATGGTGGAGGGGGAGTGATCAGGCACAGGGAGGGAGAGAATCCACAGATAGACTTTTTACTGAGCTAGAGCCTACTGTGGGGCTCCATCCAGGACCCTGAGATCATGATCTGAGTGGAAACCAGTAGTTGGCCACCCAACCACCTGAGCCATCCAGATTCCCCATAAGTAATCTTTTTAAGTGTTTTTCTACTATAAACCTTATTCTGTTTCTCCCTTTTCCTACAGGGAACAATTTTTATGATGTGTGTGTATAAATTATTTTCTTGTTTCTACTTAATAAAGTTTCCTAGCATGTGCTCCTTTCTTAAAAACTATGGATACTGATACTGGCTTCAGCTTCCAGCTATCACCAACAAAGCTGTCCTGAACATCCTGTTATCAATCAGTGTGAGAATGTCTGTAATGCTTATCTAAGGGCAGTTTTGCTGGGTAATAAATACAGGCATACTCGAGTTGAGCAAGTGCTGCTAGATTTTTTTTCCAAAATTGTACACTTGTCTGTACCCCATCACTAGCGGCAGAGGGTTTTTACAAACTCACCTTACATACTCACTTCCCTACTAACTCTTCTGTATTCAGATTTCTAATTTTTGTCATATACACACCAATACACACAGTATAGAGTTCTTTGTTTTAAACTGCGTTTTAGGGGATGATTTGAATTCGTGCATTTCTTCATATCCGTGGCCGTTTTGTTTTTCTTTCATGTGAATTTTCTTTTCCTATGCCTTACTTTTCTAATTTGTCCTGACTTTTTTGAGGTTGTTATCAACTTGTAGAAATTCGTTCTCTAATATTCGAATTATTAGTCCCTTGTCACTTTTGAATATTGGAAATATGTTTTTTCACTCTGTGGCCTATTAAACGTAAATCTTAATTTTTATGTAATGAAATCCGCCAGTTTTTGTCCTTAGAGTTTATATATTTGGAATTTTATTCAAGAAATCCTTTTCTAGGGACGCCTGGGTGGCTCATTCGGTTAAGCCACTGGCTTCTGCTCGGGTCACAATCCCAGGGTCCTGAGATCAAATCCCGAATCGGGCTCCTTGCTTGGCAGGGAGCCTTCTTCTCTCTCTGTCTCTGCCTGCTTGTGCATCCTCTCTCTCTCTCTCTCTCTCTCTGACAAATTAATTAATTAATTAATTAATTTAAAAGAAATCCTTTTCTATCCTTAAGCTGCAAAAAAATCCCCACCATTTTCTTCTATTAGCTTTATAGTTTTACCTTTCATGCTTAAGCCTTAAAGGCATCTGGAGCCGATTTTATCTGATGTGTACTAGCACTTACAGCTTTTATTTTTTCATTACATATTAATGGAATTCCAACTAAGGGTAAGGTACCATTCCAGGTACTTTGTATACATCTATAAACAAATATCCTTTAGTTGTCCTGTAATGTAGGTCCCTACTGGGTCATCAGTTGTTTTGCTGTGGTGCTCAGTGTGAATTCCACAATTTTATACAGGGCATCAGTTAAGGGATAGGCTTTACTGGGGAAAGGGAAGATTCAATTAGTCCAGAGTTAACAAGAAAAGTCCTTAATCCTTTCATCATCCAAAACAAAAGTCTAGGGGCCTAGGCAGTCTACTGGGTGTGCATGTTGTGTATCCACACGGAGAACCCCATCGCCTTAATTGTTTTTTCTTTTTATACAGCAACTGTGAGAGCAGCCTTGATAATGTGGGGGAAAATCAGACCACTTTATCTAGATTTAAGTGCCAGCTATTTAGAGACTAACTTGTAAGAAAACCCACTCCTCAGCTGCTGGAGATGGTGGGACCTAAGGAGAGTTACAGCCCTTCTAACATGGGAAAGAAGAAAGTTTTCCAGTACTACTATATAACAAATTACTATACATTTAGTGGCTTAAATATACCATCAATTAATTATATACAATTCTGGAAATTAAGTCTGAAATGTGTCTTTCTGGGCCAAAATCAGATATTAACAGAACTGTGTTTCTTCTCAAGATTCTAGGAGAGAATTTGTTTCTTTTTTTCAGCTTCTAGAGGCTATCTGTGTTCTTGGCTTGTGGCTCCTTCTCTCCATCTTCAAAGCCAGTCACAGCCAGTTGAGTCTTTCTAGCTTTGAATCACTCTGGATCTCTTCAGAGTCCCTCTTCCATTTTTAAGGACTTTTGTGATTTTGGTGTGTGCAACTAGATAATCCTGGATAATTTGTATTTTAAGATCAGCTGATTAGTAACCCTAATTCCCCTCTGCCATGTAACTTCATATATTCACAAGTTTGGGGTTATTGTGCCTCCCAGAGACTTTGGTCCTTTGAGAAATTGAGACTTGGCAGAACTCCTCTTATGTCAGGAGACTGGCAAAGTCCCTAATTTGACAAGCCGATTTAAGTTCCTAAAGTCACTCTTGGACAATTTGGGTCTTGTGCTTTGATGATGATAGACTGGAGGAAGAAAGATAATGAATGCAGAAATTAATGATTAAGTATGTTAGAGGGACAGGTGCTGTGGACAACAATAAAGGGGTAAAGAGGAGGCCAGTTACAGAATTAAATGGGGGTGGTCAGGGTATACCTCACTGGGAAAAGGATATCTGAGCAGACATCAAAGAGGTGAGGGATCTAGCCAAGAGGACAGCTGAGGGAAGTAGGTGCCAGGCAGATGATCAGGAGGAGCAAGGCCTGCAGGGTAGGAAGGTGCAAGGACTAGCAAGGAGGCTGGTGTAGGAGTGGGAGTCAGAGCAGTAATGCCGGTGGGGTAGATCTTACAGGGCCTTAATGGCCACTGTGAAGTCTTTAGATTTCACCGTGACTGATAGAAATCAAAGGAGCACTATGCTATAACTTCAGTTTTAAAAAGGATCGATTGCACTGGCTGTTGTGTTGACTGAGAATGGACTGTAGTGGAGATGAGGGCATAGAAATAGGAAAACCTGTTAGCGGAGGCTGTGGCAGTATTCCAGGTTAGAGATGGTGGTGGTTCTTGCACTAGTGTACGTTTGCAAAATAGAGCCTGTCTTTGAAGAAACCACGGTTCGGCCTCACCTAGAATGATGTGTAGTTGGGTTGTTGCACCTGAGGTGTGACATGGAACCACATGCAGCTGAGCCTCACTAGCCTCTGGACAGTTGTCACGTGAGGGTGGACTCAGAATAAGGTTGTTCTGTTTTAAAGATTATAAAGCATTTAAATGCTTGTGCCTGGTGCTAGGTAAATAGTTTTATTATTATTATTATCAGGTATGAATATTGGAAGTCTTCATTTTGTCATATCTGTAAGTGGGAGACTCCTTTGCAAATAATAGAATACCAAGTATAAGTCAAAGAGTCAGAGGCACTTAGAAAACTCTACTCTGGACTGAGACTATGTATGGAGTCTAAAGACAAATGCATTGACCAACAGTGAGAAAGAGCAACCTAGAACTCAACAGCATTAATACCTCAGAAAGGGTCACAAAGAAATACCAATATACATAGCTATTTTTTGCATTACTTAGCATTTTTTAAATTATGATTTTGTATCAGTGGTAGTTTAAAGCAGCAGGTAATTTTACATGAGAGAATCAAAAACTGAAATTAATGGTTTAAAATCTATAAAACCACATCTAAAAAATCAAAATAAATTCTGATGTGTAATCAGGGCAATATAGGTATATCTGTAATGATTTGTTACTTTATTTTGCTGTTTTAGAATATTGTAATGGCCTTTATAAGATGTAATTTGTAACACAAATACTAGCCCTGATTAACTTTATGTCACTCTATCATTACAATGCTTTGTGGTAAATTTTGCTACTAAAGTACAGCTTTTAGCTGAACAACTATAATTCATCACCATGTTAATATTTAATTTGAATCCATTATTAAGATTGTAATGCTGTAATAGAATTGACATACCTTTCGCTTGATTTTGAAGTAACTTGAATTAATATATTGACTCAGTTTGGGCAAAAATGTCCCAGTAAATACAATGAAATGATGAAAAAGTCATGTTAGGTTAATAAAAATATTGTTTGTGGATTTTCTTTCATATATGAAGATTACTTCCTCTTCTGCTTACCCTCTCCTTTTTTTTAAATTGGATTTCTGCTTTTTGGTAGCATTTCTGTTTATGCAGATAACTTCAAAATGTCCTAAGTTTTAACTCTTGCAGGACTGAGCTTTTGAAATACTCCAACCATGACTAAAAGAGAAGCAGAGGAGCTGATAGAAATTGAGATTGATGGGACAGAGAAACCAGAGTGCACAGAAGAAAGGTTGGTTTTTTTCTGCATTTACCACTTTTTATAATTATCAGCATAGCTACTTAAAATTAAGAATCAAGCCATAGTTTTGGGGAGTTTTGTTTTGTTTTGTTTTTTAACTGACCTCAGCATTTTGCAGGATAACGTATTGGCTTTTTTACCTTTGACTTAATTGCTTTGTATCTGGGAGGGAAAGACAGTTTTAAACTAAAGGTAGTAATAAATATAGCTGATAATGATGAAGCAGTTGATTGCAATAGTTCTGCTTCTAGGGCACTGTTTGATTCTTTTCCTTTCCTCCGTGCTGGTTACTTTATTTCAGAAAGAGGTTAATTCACAACCTGAAATAATTTAACAAATATCTGTAAGTAACTGCTATAAACTGGTAACTCTGAGGAATATGTGAATAAGTGAGACAGTAACCTGCTCTTATAGAGGCCGCATTGTGTTTGAGGAGGCATACAGGTATAGGGGTAGTTATGTGCCCAGTACCAAGTATATAGTGCAGTGAAAGGTGTTAGTTTTGGGGATAGTAATGGAAGATTACTCCATTAAAGAGGGAGAGCAGTGGTAATGAGTTCAGAATCCAGGGACTCAGTCTGGGTAAAAATAGAGATTTGAGAATCAAGAAGTTTGAGGAAAATGATGGCTAATGGTCCCTATGTTTCTCTATAAAGCAGAAGATGAGATAATATGTTGAAAGTAAAAGGAACTAAAGAGTAATAGATAATAGAGGACTTCTGCGGAATAAATGAAGGTTTAGAATAACTCTGTGTTGAATGGACAAAATCACCAAGGTTGATAGGGATGCTGAGTGTTGAGAGTCGAGCTGAGATTTAAAACCTTAAATTTTTAATAGAGCTTTTCAGTGTGTTTGAGTGTGCTAAATCCCCTCTCAGTCATCAGATACATATATGCATGTGTGCGTATGTGTTTATACATGCATAGGTGGATGTATTTATTTTTATGTATACACACAAATGGCACACATATCCCAAAGTGTTTACTATTTGGCCCTTTACAGAAAATCTTTGCAGATGTCTCATGTAAGAAATTGATAATTACTGTGTTAACCTGGGAAGTAGCCATTAAGGAGCAGTTGCTGCTATGAAGCTGTAGTACACAGTAGTTGTGCAAGAATTTAGGTCCAGTGATGTGAGATCATCCCGTTTTTCAGGAGAAATTCAGATTTTTGCATGAAGTTTCCCAAGGTTTAAATGGTGGCAACAAAATATTTAAACATTTTTTAAATATTGAGCTCAAATAAAATAGGTTGTAAATCTATCTTTTTTTTTCTCTAAATCTATCTTAAAGTGGCATTTCTTCTAAAGAATGGTTGTTAAAAAGAAAATTATAGCCTAATGTGCTATTACTAAAGAATTTGGTAGAAATACTTAGCCAAAAGACCCAATTAATTTACCCTAACAAAAGTAATAGTAATAATAGTTTACTGCCATTTAAAAATTATTTTCATTTTTAATCATGAGTGGTCTACTATAACTTTTGAAGTATTAGAAAAATTTAGGCTGTGTACATTTATTGAATATGATACATATATTGCATTACACTTGGAATTTATGTGAAAATGGAACTTGACAAATTTTTTATTTCTTTTAATTTTTATTTTTATATTATTTTTATTAACATATAATGTATTATTTGCCCCAGGGGTACAGGTCTGTGAATCATCAGACTTACACATTTCACAGCACTAAACCATAGCACACGGACAAATTTTTAAATACATGGTGCTGTCTTTGACAACTACAGTGAGAATTAAATCATATTAAAAGTAAACATGCTGTGAAACTTCATTGACTTCCAGCTCACCAATCTAGTAGATATTATTTGATGTCTGTTTTGTTTTTGAGTCCATATAAGGATTTTGAAAAAAGTATGTAAAATTATTTGCCAAAGATTTTACCCCCAAGGCACTTAAGATTTCATAGAATTCAAAGTATGAAATAATAGTATAGAAGAGCTTCAGAGTTTTAAAGCAGGAGTATATTTTTTTTAAATGTGGAATTGCACTGATTTTAACCAGTAGTTCTCAGATTAAATTAAGTGGAAAGTATTTTATATAATTTATATTTTCATACCTTATTATGTACATTTATGTTGGGAAAGGAAATTGAGTAGTAGAAATGGCATATAGATTTTGACGGGACTCTTTATTTTCCATTTTGGGCCTAAAATTTTCCAAAATAAGTTGAAAATGTAATATTTATATTTCCCTATAAATATGGTATATGCAGTATTTATATTTATTTATACACACACACACAAACACATACACATACTCGTAAGGAGATACATTTGCAAGGTTGCTTTAAATTTTATGTTAGCATTTCTCTGCAATTTAGTATCCAGTTTGGCAGTGCTAGTTGGTGAAAAGCCTACCACTACGAATAGTGTCTATGCAGAAAGGAGTTTCAAAAACCAGACTTTAGAAATAATTGTTAACCATTATATCCTTTAATATTTAGTATTGTGGAACAAACCTACACGCCAGCTGAATGTGTAAGCCAGGCTATAGACATCAATGAGCCAATAGGCAATTTAAAGAAATTGCTAGAACCAAGACTGCAGTGTTCTTTGGATGCTCATGAAATTTGCCTGCAAGATATCCAGGTAATTTTTTTTTTCTTTTGTGATTTATATTTTAGCATTTAAATCTGCATTAGAAATTTTTTTTTTTAAGATTTTATTTTTAAGTAATCTTTACACCTAACATGGGATTTGAACTTTTACCCCCAGGGCATTAAGAGTCACATGCTCTACCTACTGAGCCAGCCAGGCACCCAGAAATATTTTTTTGGTAGCCTTTTATCTCTATAGCTATAGTCTTTATAACAAAATTTGGCCAATATTGCAAAATTTACACATTTAAAATAAAAGTTCTTCCAGCAAAATTCCCTCCATTTAAAATTGTATCTAAAAGATTGAGTACTAGCAGTAACTGGGTAGCTCAGTGGGTTAAGTGTCTGACTCTTAATCTCAGCTCAGGTCTTGATTTCAGGGTCACGAGTTCATGCCCTGCATCAGGCTCCACACTGTGTGTGTAGCTTACTTAGGAAATAAAAATCTTGAGTACTGAATCAAATGCTTGGTTTTTACTTTCACAAATATGAAATGAGCTTAAATAAATGTGAATCAGAGCCTAAACGTAAAGTAGTGAGAAGCACATTGACCTTGGAACTTGAAGTGTGTCCTAACACTTTATAACTAGGTTTTAGCTTCTTTGTGCATTAGTTTCCTCATCTTTAAAAAGAGAAAACTGGAGTAAGTGATTTTTACCTTCCCTTCCATTTTTATTGGCTCCAGAAGTGAATTTTGGATAAGAACTTAAACACCAGTGTATGTATTTTGGGGGTTTATTGCAATAGGATTTTACCTGCAGTCGTATTTTAATAATACGTTTACAGCATATTCATAGTCATGTTTTATAGTATTCGCTCAAGAAAGGTAATATATTCATGTACAAAAAGTAGCTTAGATAGAATTGCTCAGAAGAGTTTCTCTAGACCTTCCTTGAACATACTAGTAAGTACTAGAGTTTATATTGGTTTTCATCGTAATTTATACAAATACGTATTGTGTCTTCTTTTGGATTGTTTGGTTTGTCTTGCTTTTTCTTTCTCTCTTTTATCTGCCTTGTGTTATAGCTATTCCATGTTACAGGAATTTTGCCTTAGTTTTTTAAAAATTCAAATCATCATATATGTATTATTTTAAAATAAGATTTTGGTGTAGAATAACTTGAAATGTTTTAATGAAATTTGTGCCTTTCAGTTTCCACTCAACCATACTTTTATCTTTTCCTTTCAGTAAGTCTAGTAAATGTTGTGGAGGGGTGGGGAAGGAAGGATATTGTTCTTCCAGAATTAGAGAATGTATGTGGGTCTGATACTAATAATTTTAGGATTTAAAGTTTTTCTTCTCTCAGGGAGAGAATAAACTAGCACAATCTTTTTGGAAGGTAATCTGGTATTTAATGTCTATTAATATTAAATGTGCAATACCTAGTAGTTCACCTCAATAAATTGTTCTTAGAGAAATCCTCACCTAAGTGAGCAAAGTTGTACATATGAGCTGTTCATTGCTTGGTTGTGCAGAAAGTGAAAATAACTCAAATGTTCCAAAAACACAGAAGGAGAGAAATAACTTCTGTAGATTGGTGTACAAGGCAGCCATGACAGATTGGTGAACTAGAGCTATATGGGCAGTGTACCTTGAATGAAAAAATATTTGCAGAGCACTGCTGCATTATCTCATTTTAAATTCACATTTGTCTTTGAAATCAGCATATTCTTAATTATATTCTGCAGATGTAGAAACTGAGATTTAAAGATCAACAATTTGCCAGTGCATAGTTACAAAGAGGTACAGTAGAATTTGAACCCAGGCCTGTGTGACTCCAAAACTCTTTCTTCAGTTATTTGAGGCAGACTTTTAAGAAAGTCAGCTCAGCATCACTGGACTTCACCTGATTTTCTCATATGTAAAGTAAAGTGAAATCTGGACTTGACCTCTTACTTGCCTTTCAGCTATAACATTTGTTGTTCTAACATGCTTTCTTAGCATACCTGAACTACCCAAAATGAAAATATCACTTGCGAAATACCCAGCACATCACAAGTTCTCAGAAAATATTAGTTGAATAAATGGAAATACGCATAACTGATTGTATGACAGAATTCCAAGCTAGCCTAGGAGCTAAATCATTTTGCAGTCCTCCCTCTCTCCCTTCCTCTCCTCAAAAAAAAAAAAAAATGTGAGATTAACAACTTCTCTTCTTCACATCAGTTAACCACATCCACTTGGAATCAGAATGCTTGCTGCTTGTGGTGATGCTTTTTTATTTTCAGATGAGTGCTGACTTGAAAGCCAGTGGAAAGTAGTGGGGTTGTGCTAATTTGAGGAGTATGTGTACTAGTTGTGGTATATTCAGTACTACCTGGGAGTTTACTTCCATAGTTCCATATGCTGTAGCTTCTAGTAAATCATACCTGTGTCTCCTTCAGAGAGGAGAAATCTTGAGATTAGGGGAGTTTGTAACAAAGCATCAGGCACACTTCTAAGGAGTGAAACTGCCATATTTGACCTATCTTTCTGCATGGTTACATAGTTTGTGTTATCCCTGTTGTTAGACCTAAAGTCACTTAAGATTTTAGGTTTTATATGACATTTTTAATATTAGAAAACATGTTTGTACCATGACTATAGTATTGACTGAATTCTTGGGAATGGGAGTCACAGGAGCTTTGTACCTCTAGCTGCATGAAATGCAGGCACAGGAATATACATTATTCAAGATCATTGCAATGCAGGTCTGCCTTTAAAATGGTGACAGACAACATCTGAAAGTCAGAATTACTTTTTGTCATCAGGTTGCTGTTGTGTGAAATGCATTCACACATGGAGGGAGACATGGAGGATAAAAACACTAGTACTGAAAAGATACAGAATTTTGATTGAAGATATCAAAGCTAAGTAATAAGGTCATAAATCCCTTAACTTTATTAACTTCATTGCAAGAGATTTAGAGTTAACCTTGATCTTAAATGTGTGGCATTCATTATAAGGGGGACATGGCAAAAAATGTTAATAGATTTATATAAGTCACCCCACTAATTAAGCACCCTTGCTTATTCATGACAGATAAATTGCATTATCTTCTGCTTAAAATATATTTACAGAATAAACAGTCACCTTTTGACATTATTTAAAATCCTAAATTAGACTCCAGAGCTAGAGAAAACCACCATGTCAAATAAATTTGGTTAATTTATGTTGTCCTTAATCACTACCACAATGGTTAAAATATGTTTAATTTTGGCAAAGAATTACAGGGTATGACAACTTGGATAATTAGATGTGTTCTTATAATTTCATTAGTATGCCTCAGTAATTAAGTCCTATTTGATATATACATTTGTATTAAACCTGATGACTAAATCAAAGTAATCTTAATCATTTTCCCATGTTTAGCTGGATCCGGAACGAAGTTTATTTGACCAAGGAGTAAAAACAGATGGAACTGTACAACTTAGTGTACAGGTAATTTCTTACCAAGGTAAGCTACTTTTATGGTTATTTAAAAGTTTAGCTCATGTTTTTTAAAATATGGAAGAGCTCAGTTTTTACAAGTTTGGGGTGTTTTAGGTGGTTGTCTAAATTACTTAATGTAATATTACAGCCAGACACTCATGCTTTTGGTTTCATTATTAGATCTGTCAGGGTGAAGCAGATAGTATAATGTATTCTTTTTTCTTTTTTTTTTAGTATAACAAATTCTAACTAGTTTTTTCAGGGAAAGTTACATCGTAAGGTAGAGAGAGCTGGGAGAACAGGTTCTGGTTGACTTTCTTAGAACTGCAGAACTGGATTGCCAAAGAAGCTGTTGCCCTGCCATGATCTGGAAAATGCGAGATCCGAAAGCCACCATTATAACTGTCAACCTAGAACCACTCTGCCATCACATGGATCCACACTAGCCAAAAAATGGGTTCCATGTACCTACTTGTCCCTTCTTGTTTCCAGATAGAAGGCTTATGCCAGTGTTTCTAGAGCCAGAATCACAACTGGACCCCTCGCCACCAGGAAATCTTTTCCCTACAGTTTAGCATAGAGAGAGGAATTGGCAAAAGATGTTGAGTAACTCAGTTACTCATATCCATCACAGTATTTTACTAATCTTGTGTAAGTACAAAAGTTAGAAAATTAGGAAACCCTTTTAGTTTAAAAACTAAAATTTTTTAAAACGTGGCTTGTTAGAAGTTCTGACTGGAGTTTTAGACTAATTTTAATGTTGGAACATACTAGATTGCTTACACTGGCATTTCACAAATCCTAGTGTTCTCAGACTATAAAAATGGTAGTTATCCCTTCCGATCTACAATTTCCCCAGTACTGTCATTGACAATAAGAAAGAAATTCTTTGTTTTATCTTTAAAAGCCTAGTCACCTCTCAATGTAAGTGGATTTGGGAAGAGCTGACTTGATGAAATTTGAGTGACAGATTAGGGAATAAATTTTAGAAAAATATTTTTTTTAAGTTACAGTTATTTTTCTTATGTATATTTGAAAAAAGTAACTTACCTTTATACCATATAATGAGTGATACCAACATATTTTATTATAGAGTTTGTTTTCAGGGAGGATTGAAGTTGAATTTTAATCTTTCAAATACACTTTGATTAAATTTGATGTAGAATGTAACAGAATCAATGACCAGACAGTAGTTGTTAAGTAATAATGATAGTTTTTTAGATCTGTCTTGTAACGGAAGTATCTGAGATGATTTTATAAAGAGCTAATTTATTTTGTTTTAAATATTTTAAGAATTTGGAGGTTTTTTTTCATTCAATTGAAAATGGAAATCAGAAGGTAATAATGTGAATTTAATTTAACAAACTCAGTGCCTTTTCATTTTTAAATATGAACTTTGACTTTTGAAAAGCAGTCAGTAAATAACTTTAATTTGGTTAGGACTCTTAAAAATTCTACAGGTGGGTAGCTACTACTCATTTACAGTTTTCCCTAGTCTGGTTTTTATTTTCTAATCCATATTGGTTACTTTTTTCCTAATAAATGTTTCTGTGTAGCTGTGTGTGTGATGTTGGTGGTGGTGTTTTTATGTCCTTTTATACTTGCAGAAAAGTTGCAAGAGTAGTGAAAGAATTCTGGGATGTCCTTTACCCAGATTCTCTAAATGTTAACTTTTATTACCTTTGCTTTATTCTCCATCCACCTGTCCCACATAATCTTTTTTGCCCAGTTTAAGAATAAGTTGCAGACATGATTTCCTTCTATCCCTAAATGCATCAGTATATGTGTTTTCTAAAAACAAGGTTTTCTTTTATATGACTATATTACAATTATCAAAATCAGGAAATTAATATTAACACATTACTGTTATCTAATCTACCAAAATTCTAGTGAATAATTTTATTGGTGTCTAAAAGAGAGCATTTGCTCTACCATTTGAGAACATAGAATCTAAGCTGAATTTTATTTTTTTAGTGACTTTCGTGTTTTCATTTAGATTTACTTTTTTTTTTTTTTTTTTACTCTGTAGGAATTGAACCTAAGCTAAACATCCTTGAAATTGTTAAACCTGCGGAAACAGTTGAAGTAGTTATTGATCCAGATGCCCATCATGCTGAAGCAGAAGCACATCTTGTTGAGGAAGCTCAAGTTATAACTCTTGATGGCACAAAACACATTACAACTATTTCAGATGAAACCTCAGAACAAGTGACAAGATGGGCTGCTGCTCTGGAAGGTTACAGGAAAGAGCAAGAACGCCTTGGGATACCTTATGGTAATAAAATACTTAATTACATATTAGTAGAACAGTAAGAATTAACCTTGACGGAGAGGATGCTAGGGTCAGTAAGTTGGTCTATTTTAAATGTAAAATTTTAAATTGATTTTCTGGATCTCTCTTTTTATCCCCTTTGGACAAATATTGTCCTGGGTGCTAAGAATATAAAGAAATTAAAAAAAAAAAATTCTGTCTTTAGGGTGTCACTGTGGAGTTGAAGAGAGAGAAGATAAATGAAAAGAAGTTACTATAAAAAGTAGCATGTTTTTAAGCTGTCAGTAACTTGTATAAAGGGAATATGCTATTAGGATCTTAAAGAGATCAGGGGCACCTGGGTTGCTCAGTCAGTTGAGTGTCTGACTTTTGACCTTGTCTCAGGTCATGGTCTCAGGTACCTGGGATCAAGGCCCAAGTCAGACTCCATGCTTCTCTCCCTCTCCCTCTCTGCCCCTCCCCCACTAAAATAAATAAATCTTTAAAAAAAGAGAGAGAGAGAAAGAATCTCAAAGGGATCACAGTGGTCTGGGGAACTTTGGGGAAAGGTTTGTTTTAGAAAAACTATTGGGAGAAGACAGTCCAGACAGAAAATGTGTGTGCAAAAGTTAGACACAGCAGTGAGTAGCGAGAAGATTTGTTGGAGTTACTCTCTTACGTTATAGAACTGCTTTTGATTGATGGACGTGACCATGGTAGATGAATGTGGCAGCAGTGCGGGACATACGTTGGAGCAGTAGAAACTGAATGAAGGGAAAACAGGAACATGTTGTAGTTGACCTGTCACTAGGTGATAATGTCTAGGTTAGCCTAGACTCGATAATTTATGTGGGAAGAGATGAATGAAACTAGTGATGGGGCTGAGCAACTGACTGGTGGATTGTGTGAGGGTAGAGAGGAGAGATTCAAGTACTGATAGAGCTTCTCAAGCTTGGGTGACTAGGGCAGCGATCATACTGGTGAGACCTGGTTACATCTTTATTACATATTTAGTGAACTACACATGCCAGCCATCATGTTAAATGCTGGACTTTGAATGGCACATGAGAAAGATAGGCCAAGCCCTCCAGAGCTTAAGTGGGGGACATGGGGAAGTCTGGTATTGGAAAGATTTGTCTAGGGAAAGTGTTGTACATATTACAGCTGAAGGTGGCCAGAAAGTATTTTCAGGTACACAAGATTTGGACTGGAGATGAAAATGTTTCCTGGGACTTAGTTCTGTTGAGTTTGTCTAGAAGCTATATAAGTATATACAGTCTGATGGAGAGAGAGAAAATGGAAAGGAACACAACGTTAAAGGCTGGGCCTTGTTGGCATTTCAGGTTGCGGAAAAGGAATGGAGACATGGAATAGCTGAGGAGATAGAAGGAAAATAAGAGCTGTATATAGTGTCTCTGAAATTGAAAAAGAATGGCCACATTGCTGACAAAGTAAAAAAAAATGCCAAGTGAGGGGCACCTAGGTGGCTCAGTTGATTAAGCATCTGCCTTGGGCTCAGGTCATGATCCCAGGGTCTTGTGATCGAGCCCCGCATTGGGCTCCTTACCCAGTACGGAGCCTGCTTCTCTCCCTCTCCCTCTCCCTGCTGCTCCCTCTGGTTGTTCTCTGTCTCTCTCTCTCTCTCTCTCTGTCAAATAAATTAAATCTTTAAAAAAAAAAAAAAAAAAGCCAACTGAGTAGTATCTATTAAATTTGGTGATCAGAGGTTCATTGGTAGATTTAGAAAAAAAGTAACTAGAGTTAGACAAACTGAATTACAGGAAAAAATAGACATAGAAGTGGAGAAGACAGCATTAACCTTTGGTGGGCAAATGGGAAGAGTGTTGGAGGGATAAATAAATATTATTGAAGGCTCATGAGTTGTTAGTAACCTTAGTATTTGTAGATAAAATAGTGAGGCACGAGCAGGAGAAGGATAGATGAGGAGAGGGGCTTTTAATTGGAACCTGAGAAGGTAAGCCCAGTTCGAAGGACCATATAGAGCCGTTCTTCAGATACGTGGTTGACAATATTGTTATTTTTGACTTGTAAAAGCTAGCATAGACATCATGCTTGACCTTGTTGTTAGTGAGTTTGCAGTCACCTCTGAGAGAGGAAATGCTGAAAAGGAAGGAAGAGAGCATAAAAACACTTGAAATAATATTTTACGTAGTTTACTAGACTTCCAACAAGAACCCTTCAGTAGTAGGATCTTTAGTATATAATAATGAATTATATAGAGAGCAAGATTATAAACTCTTGACTCAGGAGTACCTACCTAGGGGTATCATTTACTTTAGAATAAAGCTCTTTTTTTTTTTTTTTAAGATTTTTTAAAAATTTATTTATTTGTCAGAGAGAGAGAGATCACAAGTAGGCAGAGAGACAGGCAGAGAGAAAGGAAAAAGCAGGCTCCCTGCTGAGCAGAGAGCCCGATGTGGGACTCAGTCCCAATGTGGAGCTCAATCCCAGGATACTGGGATCATGATCTGAGCCGAAGACAGAGACTTAACCCACTGAGCCACCCAGGCGCCCCTAAGTTGACTTAATTTTTAGGTTGTAGATTTCTGTATGTACCAAGACTGACTTTCTCCCATTTCCATCACTCTGTTTTGTGCCTATAATTTTTCCCAAATTCTGAAGTATCTCTAGATTGGTTCTTTTGTAGATCTGCCATAGTGCTGTCATCCTTGGACATCCTTGACTTGGCCTGCATTGCTGGATCCATTTTTCAGGATCTTATATTTTCCTTTTTCTTCATTTTATTCTACCATTTACTCATTCTCTCATTCCTCGGTATAGGTTTCCTTAGAAAGGACACCTAGGAAATAAAAGTTGCTTTTGGGGGTGCCTGGGTGGCTCAGTGGGTTAAACTTCTGCCTTTGGCTCAGGTCGTGATTTCTGATCCTGGGATCGAGCCCCACATCGGGCTCTCTGCTCAGCGGGGAGTCTACTTCCCCTCTCTCTGTGCCTGCCTCTCTGCCTACTCGTGATCTCTATCAAATGAATAAATAAAATCTTAAAAAAAAAAAAGTTGCTTTTGTTTTTGGTTTGGCAGGGTGTTTTTTTGTTTGTTTGTTTTATTGGTGGGGGAGACTTTACATATCCGAAAATGTCTTTATTCTTTATTCTGCTCTCTCTGATTGAAAGCTTGGGTATAGAATATTAAGTTGAAATACTATTTTTCCTCAAAATTTATATGGCCCTGTTCTGTTTCATTATAGTGCGGGATGTCCAGGGGGCATTCTGATTCTGGTTCCTGTTTATATCCTTTTTATTTTTCTCTCCGGAAGCTGTTTTGATCTCCTTTTTATCTCTGGTCTTTAACCTGGTTTAGTGGCATTGTGCATCTATTTCATGTGCTGTAGATTTGTGGATTATGGGGAAGTATTGCACAGCCTGGCACTGCCTAGTGCAGTAGCCACTAGTCCCACGTGAGCACTTCACATGTGCCTGGTCTGACCTGAGCTGTGCTGTGTCATATACTTGGTACAAACAGAGAAGAATGTAAAATCTTTTAAAATTTTTGTGTTGATTACATGTTGAAATAACATTTAGAAACATTACATGAAATTATTATTACAATAAATTTCACCTATTTTTTTTTTAATATAGCTGTGAGAAAACTTTTTAAAATTACCTGGTGGCCTGCATTATATTTCTCTTGGACAGCTGCTGATCTAGACAGTTGTAGCCTTCAGTTCTGGGAAATTTTCCTGCATTATTATTTTGATAATGACTTTCAGTGTTTTTCTTTTTTTCTGAGACTCTTGCTGAATCTCCTGGGCTGATCCTCTGTATCTTTTTTTCTTTCGTTTGTCATTTTTGTATCTATATGAACAACTTTCCGCCAAATTTCTTGTCTTTATATAACAACCTATCCTGATAGTTATTTTCACTTTACAAGGGCTTTTCATTTTTGTTTTTCCTTTTAGCATTCTGATCACATTTTTCTTTTTTTTTTTTTTTTTCATTTTGTTACTGCATTATTTCTGCTTCTGGATTCAAGTTTTCTGTTTATTTTTGTTTAATGCTTTGAGTCTCTCAAATATCTGTTCCTGCTCATCTGTTCATAGTTAAAAGTGAGTTACTTTAAAGCTAATTAATTTGAAGCTCTGGAAGGGAGTTCTTGACCATACTCTGGTAAAATGGGATATTGGTCATTTCATAAAGATTCCTAGGTGTCAATATATATATAGATGTTTTTCCTGGGTATCTTTAACTTCTCTGGAGAATTGGCCAAATACCTGACAGGAGTAGAAAGTTCAGGTGAGGATTTAGGGTTGATGTATATGTGAATGCTGCATTCTGGAAATGGAACGGGAAGTGCAGAGGGTCTCACTCCTCAGTTTGTAGACTTTTATTACTGGGATCAATGTACATTTCATGTCTGTCCCAGAAGTTCCGGGGATGGGGTAGTGGCGGGGGTCGGATATGGATGTGTGCTTGGGGATGGTTTTTCGGTTGGCTCCTGAGAATGAAGGAGAGGCCCTAGAGGTTCTAACAACACCATACACTTTAAATCAGTCCCCTCATTTTCCACTTACACTTCTCCTGCTACCTGAAACCACCACAACCTGAGCCAGTAGAGGGATTCTGTAGTCAGGAAACACTTACTTGTTACTGTACCCTCCTGGATAGATATTTTAGGTCATAGCTCCTACTTCACTTGATTTTCACTCTGCTGGCTGTCTTCAAAAATTAGTTGAAAGTCTCACATCTGTTTGCATTTTCACTTATGTTCTTATGAGTTTACTTCTTTTAAAAATTCCTTTACTGTCATTTTACTAGGATCTTAGAGAATAAATAGGGAGAATATGCACAATTAATTATGTTACACCAGAAGTCCTGATATTATTTAAGAAAACACATCAGACTGATTACATTTGCCCCAACTTTTTCGATCATGATACTTTTTTTGGCTCATGTTTATGTAAAATGAGGTTACTTGAACTTATAATGGGAAGTGTAGTTCAGGATAGCTTTTCTAGCTTTCTCTAATTCTTTCCTCTGTTATTTTCAAGTAGTATTAAAAAATAGATCCAGTAGAGACACTTGGCTAGCTCAGTCAGAAGAGCACATGACTCTGATCTCCAGGTTGTGGTTTAAGCCCCATGTTGGGTGTTTGTTTAAAAACAAAAACGTTGCCACTGGCTTTCTCAGTTGCTATCTATTCCCTTAATCCACTCTTATATGGATTAAGGGAGCAGACATATTTACAATAAAACCATGGACCTCCTCTTTTTCTTTGGTGTTTCTGTGCTGCTCGGTTTAGATTCCATTCCCTGTAGTTGCTCGTTGTGTTCCACTCTCCTGGACGTGATCCATGGCTCAGTTTGAAAAACCCAAAAGTGCTACACTATTCTAGCCCCTTAAATCTTACCATGGACCTTTGCACTCGATCGGGCAAAACTGTTTGAGCTACTCCTTTGAGCTTGGCCTATTGCGCTCAGTGAAAACTTCTTGGCTGTGTTGAAGTTCTCCTGTGCTCAGAATGAAAATGGGTCAGATTTTCCTTTGTTTCCCCCTTTGTCTCCTAAACGATACTGATACCATGAAGGTCTCTGAATGTTACTGCTTTGTCTTCATCTGTGTATTTTGGGCTTCCATGGGGATACCTTGTTCACCTGGTTTTATTGTAAATATACATGGATTTTTGGTTTTGCTGTCTTTTGCTTTTAGTGGTGTTTTTTTTAATGTGTGCATTCAAAGACATTAAAAAACTTTCCTGCCATCTTCTCAAAATCCTTCTCCCTTTCGCCTTTATGAAAAGATCAAATAAAAAATCAGTTCTGTGGCTGTCAATCCTGTCTTATGTTTGATTCATCTTCTATTATAAATTGGCTCTTGATAAGTACCTAAATGTGTTTTTCCCCACTTACTCCAATTGAATAGCCTGCATCTTAGGGGCATGTAACCAATACTGTTTAGATAGATCATCTTCTCCATGGAAAAATACCTAAACCGAAAGTAATTCAGCCAGTTTTTATTGAACTTATATGGGTAGAATACTCTGTTGGGTGCCAAGGATACAGTGATGAAATATTTATACATGTTGGCCATCTTTTTCATTTGTGAACACAATCAGATAGTAAAAAAATGATGAGGAAAATGACTATTTAGATTTACTTCCCATAGATTTAACAAATTAGGCCATGCATAAGGCATTGTGGTAAACTCCAAAGATAAACAGTGGTTTATAAGACACAGTCCTTATATTTCAGACCTTAATGTATTACAGGGAAAGACAGCTGAGAAAACATGCAGTTTGCATGTTGTATTATAAATGCCACTAAAGGGTGAATATAGGAACACCAGCTTTTTACAAGAAGCGAAAGGGAAGAAAGATTATGTTTTGCACATTTTGGAGAGTGAGTCTAGCTCTTCAGAAACCCCTTAATAGTTTTCTTTTTTTTTTCCCCCCAGTGCACCAAATTATACAATGCTGCAAAGTAATGTTTAAAACTTGGATGATTTACGCCATTCTCTCTAGAGAAATCCCACTTTTTATTCTTTCAGTTGACCCATTGAAGAGCAATTTTATGTTATTTTTTCTTGATAAAATTTCAGACTAACTGATGTAAATCAGGTGAATTCACTAAAAGTTTAGATTGAGAAATTGAAAAGGAGATGAGGAGAAAATGTAGTGTTAAAAACCTTTTTATTTATTTGAGTTTATTTACTTCTCTTAACTTGGGGAGTGATCCTTTCTGGATTTCTCTCTCTCTCTCTCTCTCTCTCTCTCTATATATATATATATACATATATGTATGTGTGTGTATTGACAAATTAACTATGAATTTATATAATATCTAAGATAGCACTAGGCTAATGGTAATATTTTTCTCTTTAGATCCTATACAGTGGTCTACAGACCAAGTCCTGCACTGGGTGGTTTGGGTAATGAAGGAGTTCAGCATGACTGATATAGACCTGACCACACTCAACATTTCTGGAAGGGAATTATGCAGTCTCAACCAAGAAGATTTTTTTCAGCGAGTGCCTCGGGGAGAAATTCTATGGAGTCATCTGGAACTTCTTCGAAAATGTATAAAATTTGAATTATTACCTGTTTGCACTGTAACTTGAGTTTAATTTTATTTCTGTATAACTTTGTCTTCATTGTTTGTTGTGATCTTTGATAATAGCAATAATAATTAACACCTACTAATTGTATAAGCTGTGCCGGGAGCTTTATATGTATTATCTAATTTAATCCCTCTAACTGATGCCACAAATCATTACTTTCCTTATTTTTAAGATAGGATACCATGGCTTAAAGAACCAGCCCCACGAGGGTACAGGGCTGGGGAATGGCAGAGCCAAGATCCAAAACCAGACTAAAGAATGCCGGAATCCAAGCTCTTAAGATTCTGTGCCCTACACTTAGCTCTCTTCATAAATTCCATCCGTTGACTTCTGTTTCATCAGTCAGTTCTTTGATTTTGAAGTCTGCTGTTTATAAGTGTTTCCATGTTGGCTCCACAGACATTATCATTATGATTAAGTGACTATATACAGAAATTAGAAACTACTTGGCTGACCAACAAAAAGCTCAAATAAATGTAAATTATTTTGTTTGAATTTTAATCCATCTTATATTTCAGTGACTATCTGTGAAATATTAGCAGTACCCTGTTCCCTAACATCATTCTACAGCAGGCCAGAAATGCTAGCCAGACCCACATACTTTTCAGAATGTGTGAATAAGACAGACTCTGACTTTGTTTTTGTAATGGTTATGGATAAAAAGGTAACTGGTAGGGTTTGTTCTATTACCTGCCCAGTAAAGGAACAGCTCTGGTTGGAGGGATTTTCCACAGGTATTCGAAGGCTTAGGGTTTTCATCTGGGGTGCTTTTTCTGCTACTAAATAAAAAATGAGCTCTAGAGAGAGGCTTTCCTTCATTGGTTAGAGTTTCTCTCTTTCATGGAATTTCTTAAATACTAGAGGGGGAAGTATCTATTGACACCGAAAGTCTTACTGCATTCATTACATTTATAGGGTTTATTTCCAGTTTTTCTTATTAGAAAGTAAGTTAAATGTTCTGGTTGAAGTTTTGTCCTTGATTTCACAGGGGTTTGGGTTTTTTTTTTCCCCCTCTACACAGCTTTTCAGGTAAATAAGGAAAACTCTTGAATTGTTTCAGGTTTTTAACATGTGAGTCATGTTTACTGAAATGTATCCTTGTAGGAATTGTCAAGGTTAGGACGAAGACGGTGTTTAGACTACAGTTTGAAATTGCTGTCTCCCCCATGGCGGCACTCTGTTGTGCTTGTCTCTGGTTCTCCTAGTGCTTCTCAGTCTTTAAAGCTCATTCAGAGACTTCACAGGAATCTTGTGTGTCTGCTCATTTCTTTGAAGCGGGGAGAATGCTCAGAACTAGGAATCTGGATGAAGCAATAACCTCTCCCGTTTACTGAAAAGTTAAGCTCTGTTTCAAGTATTGTGCTTTTAGAAAACATTTTCCTTGGGGTGCCTGGGTGGCTCAGTCAGTTGAATGTCTGCCTTTGGCTTGGCTCATGATCCCAGGGTTCTGGGATCGAGCCCCATGTAGGGCTCCCTACTCTGCGGGGAGCCTGCTTCTCCCTCTCCCTCTGCTTGCTGCTCTCTCTGCTTGTGTGTGCACTCGATCTCTCTGTCAAATAAATAAATGAGAATCTATTTAAAAAAATTTTTTTTCCTTTAATCCTTATGACAGCCTCATGAGGTGGTAGGTGGGATAGCTCATTTAAACATGAGGAAATTAATGCTTAAGTTGGTTGAACAATTTATCAAAGGCACACAGCCAATAAGTGAGTGCTAAGATCAGAACCAAGATCTGAGGCTAGTCCCATATAATTATTTAAACCCCCAAAGAAACCCTTTATCTGACAGGTAGGCTTTAGATCTCTTTTTAGTTTCTCAGTCCTTTCAAGTTCTGTGTGCCTAGAACTGGATCTTGGCATGGCACCCTAAGTAGAACTGTGTTCGGTGCCCAGGCTGGTACTCACCCAGTACACAGATGATTGCTGGTGGGTACAGCTTCAAGAGAAAGGCATCTAATCTATGATGGGCACTAAATAAATCGGCTGAAATATTAGAGACTGGGAAATAGGAACTTTCATTAAAGAAATAAAGAATAGAATTTGGGTAGGGGATAGCAACAGACAAGTTAAGAGTGACTCTCTTAGTGGTTATATTAGGACCTTTAACAGTGTAACTCATGTTGAGAGCTGTCTTTGTAGCCATCGTTATATTATTTCGTTCACTTGTGACTTGTAGGACCACTACAGTTTAATTGAAAATTTAACTATCTTTAAGGAGCGTTATAAAGTTAAAGCCCTTTTGGAACGCCTGGTGGCTCAGTCATTTCAGCATCCGACTCTTGATTTCAGCTCGGGTGATGATTCAGGGTCATGAGATTGTGGGGATCCCTGCTCCACACAGAGTCTGCTTGAGATTCTCTCTCCCTCTGCTGCTCCTCCCCCCTCTCTCAAATAAATAAAATCTTATAAAAAAAAGTTAAAGCAGTTTTATTCAATGTGTTAGAACAGATTAGTAAATTCTAAAGATCTCACCTTGACTGAGAATGTATATCTAACAAATGCTAAGTAATTTCAGTGTGGTGTACATTCTCATCTTTGATTTGATTTTAAAGGTTTCCATGTTTTAAATGGTTTTATACAGATAAATAGATTTAGATATAGATATTTATGTTATGGGACTATCCAGCTCAGAATCTGAACTGCTGTTTTATACTATGAATTGTGAAAAGTAACTCCATTTTTCTAACATTTCTTTTCTTAATGTTAAAAGAATTAGAGCTCTCCATCTGTTACTTCTCTTAAAAATATCTTTTTCTTACAAAGTGAATATCAAGTATTTCTTTAGGTTATTGTGCCATTAAGTTTTGTTGAATGTTTTGCTTTTTAGTTTATCTGGTTGGTCAGTTGAATTGAGTTTTACTGACTTGAGTTTATATTTCTGGGGTAAATGTAAACAAAAATTTTTATGTGTGTTCTTCAGATGTGTTGGCAAGCCAAGAACAACAGATGAATGAGATAGTTACAATTGATCAGCGTGAGTATTCATGCTTTCTTTTAATTTAGCACTGCAAGGTAATAAAATTAATTTTTAACTTTTTATGAAATATTTTAGATACACCAAGAAATAAAGTATAGTAACTAACATCTATGTACACCGTAAAAATTAAAACTTTATGTATCAACTTTGCCTGTTGTAGATCTCATTTTAAATGACTATCTTGAATTGATGTTTATTATTCTGTGCATATTTTATATTTTTACCAACTAGGCAACCACATTTTATAGCATTGTTTTACCTGTGTTTAAACTTTCTGGGTAAAATGATAATAAACTGTGTATATCCTTTTATAACTTGCTTTTTGTGTAACAGTTATGAGACTCTTGATGATACTTGCAGTGTGATTTCATTCATTTTCACTGCTTTCTATTCTTTTTAAAAGTCTGTGAGTATGATGGAATGAGTGTTTGTAAGAATGTGTGGGAGATTCTCTGGTTTATCACAGGGGTTCCTTCCTCCCTGACTAGGGATTACCATAGCTTTTCACCAAGTGCGGGTAGATGTGGGTGTTCTCACCAGTGTGTGTGAGTTCTCATTTGTCCATATTTCTTTCCCAACATTTGATAAACTACTTTTAATGAAGAAATATTCTTAAAACATATGTTTTTATAATTTCTTGTTTAATGTGTATATACCACTAAGTTAATTGAAAATAAGACCTGCTTTTATTCCCCAAGTTAAGATTCACAACCCATAATGCAAACATCATACCTTATCCTCAGGACTTCTTTGGTAATTTTGTTCAAAACTTCTGTGGATTAAGGCTTTTTTTAAATGAGGCCCCCTTTTTTTTTTTAGCTGATTAGAAGCGCATCAGTAAAACTAATAGCATTTTATATCTTAGTCGATTTTTTACGGCTTGTATTAGAAGGAAAAACATTTTTTTCCATTTTTCTTTGCAGCTGTGCAGATTATTCCAGCATCAGTCCAGTCTGCTACACCAACTACTATTAAAGTTATAAATAGTAGTGCAAAGGCAGCTAAAGTACAAAGGGCTCCAAGGATTTCAGGAGAAGATCGAAGTTCACCTGGGAACAGAACAGGTATGTTTGCATTATCTTAACGGTATTTATAAAATTTGTCAAATCATGTGTATTTTGGTTTTTTTTTTCACTGTATGAAAATATGAATATAGATTATTTCTCTGGCAGTATTTAAACAGCATTTGTTTAAAAAAAAATTGTTCTTAGCATGGCTGGGGGATGACCCAGAGAAGAACCTGTGTGGTGCCTTTTGCCTGCTACTAATCCATAGCATTGTGGTCAATGCTTGTCCTTCTCAATTTAGGAAACAATGGTCAAATCCAACTATGGCAGTTTTTGCTAGAACTTCTTACTGACAAGGATGCTCGAGACTGCATTTCTTGGGTTGGTGATGAAGGCGAGTTTAAGCTAAATCAGCCTGAACTAGTTGCACAAAAGTGGGGACAACGTAAAAATAAGCCTACAATGAACTATGAGAAACTCAGTCGTGCATTAAGGTAAGTATTTATCATTATTATTGTTTATTATTTCTTTTTATTATTGAGCCTTTCTAAAAAATTATTTCTTATTCTAGGTTTAACACTGTTATGTAACATTAAAAGACTTGTTTATGTTTATTTAAAAAGCTAATAGTTTCATACTGTTGTTAAAAGTGACTTTTTTAAAAAGATTTATTTATTTTAGAGAGAGTTTGTGTGTGCTTGAGCATGCGGGGGTGGGGGGGTGGGGGGGAAGGGGGCAGAGGTAAAGGGAGAGAGAAACTTGACCAGATGCTGTGCTCAGTGCAGAGCCCAGTGGGGGGCTCCAGCCCCTGATCCTGAGATCACAACCTGAGATGAAACCAAGAGTCAGACACTTAATCAACTGTGCCACTTGGGCACCCCAAAAATGACTTTTTACAAAGATATTTAGTAATGATTTTGAGGCATGTATTTTTTTTTTAGATGATTCCAAGATTATTTGTTTTTATCTGGTTGAAAAGCATATATTACTTTGTTTAAAACTTACATTTTAATCTCTGAGTTTTCTGTCATTTACATAAAAGATTAAGATGCTATCATTTGCATAGATAAAGAATTGAGTATAAATTTTAGCAAAAATGCAGATATTTTCTGTTTTTATAATGAGGTGCATAATGTCGACCCATTTCTCTGTTCTCTCTTCACCTTCGCCCTAAATCTGAATATCCAACCTTTACATGGATTGAATTGGAATAAAATAAAATTATTTGTAACTTCCTATAAGTAACATGAATTTTTTTGAGACAGTTACTCTCAGAAATTATGCTTTCCACGGGAATGGAAATTTAGTATGTGCATTTAAGTAAAAAAGCAGGATATATGGAAATATGGAACTAATGTCTTTTTTTGAAAGAGTGAATATAGTGTAAAATAGCTCTGCAATTTATCTTTATTTCTAAATAATACGCTTTTGCTGCTACTTCATGTTTCGTTTGGACATTGTGAATTTCACACTGCGAGATTATGATTCACCTCTCCACTACACATATTTACACACTCTTTCTCCCTTCATCCTAATGTAATTACATAATTATATGGAAATTGTGGTTATATCAGCATTCATTGTTAGGGTCATGATCATGTAAATACTGCTACATATTTTAGCATGATCATTTTTCTTTTCCAAAATAACTGTTTTCCTTAGCACTCAAAGTAACTAAAATGCTGATATTTCTTCCTTTTTTATTTTATTTATTTATTTGAGAGAGGGAGCAGGTGAGAGAGAGCGCACAAATGGGAGACAGGGTGGGAGCAGAGGGAGAGGGAGAAGCAGAGCCTGATGTGGGGCTCAGTCCCAGAACCCTAAGGTCATGACCTGAGCTGAAGGCAGACTTAAACCGACTGAGCCACACAGGCGCCCCTAAAATGCTTTATTTTCGATGTGTGTATCACTTACTTAGTCTCACGTACTTTGCCAACTATCTAAAGATCCTTTCCATATGAGAATTAAGGCTGTCATTTTTGGCAGTTGATATAATTGTATATATACAAGTCCCTTCAAAATTACAGATAAATTATTAGAATTAATCTTTAAGATGTCAGGTCTCCTCTGATAAAAGTTTCAATGCAGAAAGTTTCTTTGTAGACCTTAACATGGTGATTGTAAAATTTATGTGGTAATATAAAGTGCCGCAGTAGTTAGGATACCTGAAGCAGATTAACATAGAGTGGGAAGATTTGCTCTCCAGGACATCGAAACTGGCTGTAGCTGGAACAATAAGACAATGTGTTGTTTGCTTAGGAGAGACAAATAGACAACAGATTACAGCGGAGAGCCCAAGCAGAGCCAAGAATATAAGAGTATTTGACTTAAAAATGGTATGGAGAAAAGACATGAGGAAAGACCTGCTTTTCAGTTGATAGAGCTGGGATGGTTGACTGACTATCCATATGGGAAAAAAGTGAAACTCAACCTCTTCCTCATACCATACCAGAAATTTGTTCCATGTAGCTTGTAGCTCTAAATATGGAAAGTAAAATAGGAAAGCATCTAGAAATACCTCCATGATGTCGGTAGGTGAGAAAAGACATCAAACAGAATTGACAGCACTGACCCTGATGGAGAAAAGAAATTGGGACTACATTTAAATTAGATTACAATTAAATTTTGGTCAACAGAAGCCATCGTCGGGAGAGTGAAAGGCAAGCCACAAACCTGACGTAAAAGTCATGTCTGAAGTAACAAGAACTCTTAACAAATCAGTAGGAGAAATAGGAAAAATAGGCAAGAGACACGAATAGACACTGGACTGGTGATTATCCGCGTGGCCGATGACCGTATGCCGCAGCTCACAGCCTCTCGTAATCAGGGAAACACGGTTGGAAACGATGATAAAATGGCACAGCGCATGTCTCAGGATGGCCTACGTTTAAATGCTTGCCAGTACCAGGTGTTGAGGATGTGGAGCGGCGGGAATGCCTCTATACTTCTTGATAGGAATGTAGCCTGTATCCCGGCAGTTTCTCTCCTAAATACCTGCCAACCAGAACTGCACGCGTGTGTCTGCACACATGCTCACAGCAGCACTGTTTATAATACCCCAGAGCCAGAAACCAAATACCTGTTAGCAGGGGAGTGAGTAAATGAATTGTGGTAAACAAGAGTGGACTGTGTGTCCATGGAAATGAACCGGGGCTACAAGCACTGATACAGATGAGCCTCACACACATAATGTTCAGCAAAGGAATCAGACCCGAAAGAGTACATATTGTATGAGTGCATTTATAGTATAAAGTTCAAGAAACAGGAGAAGTTTAGGGATACATGTTTGGGTGACAAGCGGTGAATTACCATCGTGGAACAAAAACAAGATTGTTTTTACCTTTTAGAGCAAGCCAAGGGTAGTGATTGGGAGGGACCTTGGAGGGATTCTAGGGAAATCTATTTCACAATATAAAGGCTAAAAAAAATACAAGTTAAAAAAAAAAAAGAGGGCAAAATCAAGTCCATGAAAACACAGGTATCATGTACCTTTCTACTTTCTTCCTTTTATGGAGGGTACAAATGTGGTGAATGCTGTTATATATAGTGGTTGTATGACAGCATCTAGTAGATGGAAGGACATAACCATGTAAAATTAGAACTTAGTGTTTGTACTCTTTTATCACCTTTTACCAAGAGACGTAAGATTATACCAACTCCATTTTCCTCCTTGAAATATAAAACCACTTTCTTCCTTCATCTTACTTTTTACTCAAGTGTCTGTTTGCTATAGCCTCACATATTGTGAAGAAATCTTCTTAAGAAATTAAAATACCAGTCTCATTTTAAATTAGATGACAATTGATGGTTTGTGGGCTAAGATCTAAATTATGTCTGAACGTAATTGGTACAAAAGGAAACACAAGAACTCTGCCCAGTGTATTGTATCTCACTGAGAAAATGAACATAACTGCCTGTTAGGCTTTCTCCATTCTGAAATTGAGGAAAAGTGACTTAATTTCCTGCACATAGATTAGCCTTTTCACTAATGGACTCTTGATTAAGTTGAATGACTTTATAATAAAGTCCTGCTAAATATGGTAGTTTACACCATGTTGGTACTTTGGCAAATAGTCATTCCTTTCATAACTGTTTATTGTCAAACTGGTACAGATGGGCAGTACAATTTTAAAATCAAAGCTTCACAGAGATGGGGAAAAATAATAAAATAAAACAAAATATAAGGCTTAACAGTCTCCCTGCCTATACAAGTCTTAACTTACCTTTTTCCCTTTATTGGGATTGACAACGATTAACAGTAAATAAACTTTTTCCAAAATAAATCTAAGTCTAGCTCTATTTCCATACATAGCGGCAGAAAACTAGGCTTCTAGAGGGACTCCTCCAGATTTGTCTTTGTAGGTATAGGACCGTTGTTTCCTTATGATGTCCTCTTCCTTGGTTTTCTGTATCCTATCTGTCTTCTAACCCTTTACTTACACTTCTGAGGCTCCTTATTGGATTTGGAGAATTTCACCGAAAGGAGAGCCTTTACATATTAAAATGGTGACAGCAAAGGCATGGCTGCAACTTAAGGGATTTTGTACAGTACAGAAAAGTGGACATTCCCACAGTCCATAGAATATGTGTATTACAAATTTCTCCTTTAATGTGGGTTCTTAATTATTAACATAGCTTACGTTTTATAGAGGGCTATGTGCCAGTCATTGTGTGCTTAAGTGAGCACTTTGCAAAGATAATCCTTTTAACTCCCAACAATTCTATGAGGGTAAGTACTGTTTTTAACCTCACTGTATAGACGAGGAATAAAAACTTAGAGAAAATGTGACTTTTGTGTGGTGACAAAATCACACAAAGTCAAGACACTGTTTTGAATCTTGACATTCTTACTCCCAAGCCCTTGTTCTTAGGTTCTATTACTACTCCTAAGGTTTTTTGTTTTGTTTTAATAGTGATCATTTTTAAATCAGTATTTTATCATAATTGTTGAAATACAGTTTGAAGATTTAGTACATAGAGTTTTAGAATACTGAACATTGAAATTTTAGTAAGCAATGTTTTGAAGTTTCCTTGGATAGTAACATTAAATATTTCTCTGTAACTTCAATGTTAGTTGCTGTCGGGGTAGATACAGGACTAGGCTCCTGCTTAAGGAGGGATCTGAACTATTGTAACAAGCCTGAATTCTGGTTTTTGTCCTATAGTCCTAATGTGTATTTCTTTTTGAAGGTATTATTATGATGGGGATATGATTTGTAAAGTTCAAGGCAAGAGATTTGTGTACAAGTTTGTCTGTGACTTGAAGACTCTTATTGGATACAGTGCAGCAGAGTTGAACCGTTTGGTCACAGAATGTGAACAGAAGAAACTTGCAAAGATGCAGCTTCACGGGATTGCCCAGCCGGTCACAGCAGTAGCCCTGGCCACTGCTTCTCTGCAGACGGAAAAGGATAATTGAGTCCAGGACCTTCTGGGAGCCCGAGGTCTTTCTTAAATATTAGAGCAAGTATTGCTCTCACCTTTATTACTGAATTTGAATCTTCTTTTATTTCTAGACTGTACAATCTGATGCATGATTTTTTTATAAATATTTCATACTCTTGTGAATTTGGATCTTTTTACTTTGAGCATATATTTTAGAATACGTGTATGTTAAAGGTCACCACAATGTCTTCAGCACCAAGTCAGGTTCATTGTGGGATAGTTTGTTAACAGTCAGGAAAGCTAAACTGGTCAGTATTAATGTCTCGCCCTACCAGAAATAGTCAGTAGCATCTGAGGATGAAAAATAAATGAAGTATCTCCAGGAAACAGTCTGGCTTAACTATTTTTGAAAGTATAACTGTTTCCCCTCTCTGCTGCTTTAGATGTTGCTTTACATAGAACCAGAAAATGGAATTTTTCACAGCTAAAGCATGTGTGCCTGTTTCATCTAATCAAGCAGAGCTAAAATATTCATATCAAATAAAATTATAATAATAAATTACTAAACTGAGAGTATCAAGTTATTAAAATAATTTATATATTTGCAAGCAAAGGACAATAAGAAGTCGACTGGCAGAAGATCATTGCTGAAGAAGGAGATCCAGGTTGAAATCTAGCTTAACTCAAGCTAATTTTAAGGATTTTCTGTATAGATGATTCATAACGTCAGGCCAAGAATTTAAATTATTTTAAGAGAGGCATTTAATTCTAATAAACCAACTATTACAAAAATTCTGAAATGATCTCTGTTTTTCCTGTCAGAGATTTAAAAAACTGAAAAGGTATACCTCAGCCAGAAAATAAAAGTTTGATTTAGTTTGGTTTGGCATGGCTTGCTTTCTTTCTTTTTCAAAATTGCCCTGTACTGCCAGTGTGTTATGCAGAAGCAGCTTATGTAGTCATTGTGTTTCTGATGAAATGAAGACGTTAATCAGCAGTACTTTCCCTTTCAAGACAAAAAGCAAATTACTAGTCCATAGTTCTAAGAAGAAATTCTGACCTCCAGTTTAGACAGTCTTCTCTCCAAACAAAATTTCCCATTTACTGAATTTCTTCCTTTTGAATATTATATATGTGTGAGTATAAATATCTGTATACATGTTCACTTGACCATTTTAATATATATATATATATATAATGATATTCAAAAGGAAAGATATATTAAAACATAGTAACTCATTTTAAAAATGTTTTAATTATATGATTCTTATATGTGAAACTCCTTATTACCAGCTAACACTAAGCAGAAATGGCTAGAAATGTTTCTTTTTTGCTTGCTTTTTTTTTTTGTTTTGTTTTGTTTTAAGGTAATATACATGAATCATGAGATACTGGCAGGAGCTTTTAATTCTCTTATAGCAGAAGATTGATTGACATACATTACTTTATGCACCTTCTCCTTCACCATTTCCTCTAAATCTATCCCCCAAACAGCTTTATAAGAGCTCAGTTGATGCTTCTGACTAACCAGGAGGAAAGGGCTTGGTTGTAAGTCAAGGAGGCATTGCTGGCAGTCACTGTACTGGTCCCAGATAATACTCGTCCCAGATAGTGGTCTGGAATGAACCATAAGGCAGAGATCCTAGGAACAAGCAGGAGAGAAAGGATCTCTGATTTTCTTCTCTGGTAACCTCAAATCGCAGCTTGAAGTGCTGTGCTTATAGGACTGCGATGTGTAACGTTAGTTCATTTTTATGCTTACGTCATTTAAGACCTGCAGGGGATGCCTAAAAGGAGTAAAACTTGTAACTTCTATTTTTACTTTTTTATAAACACATATGGAATAGACTGACAAACTATTAGTTTAATTTGGGCACTGGCTACAAGGATATCTGAGTAGAATAAGCATATGAAATAATATATAGAAACTCCTTAAGTTCAGAACAAATATATCACCAAAAAAGAAGGTTTTGCACCATCTCTCAGTCTGGGGAGTTGACAAGTCGCTTATAGTTTTAAAAAATATAATAAACATCTCTGGTATGTTATCAAGAGCTTACAACTTTTGACTTTAGTATTTAAAATGCTTTTGGGGAGACATTATTTTAAAGTTTTAGTGAAGATGACAGACCATGTTGCAACTATATGTGTATATTTTAAGGCAAGGAACACCCACATTTCTTTTAGATCTCCAGAGTCAAACTATTGCTGCTTCTCCTTTAAGCATTCTTTAGATTCCTTTTTCTAAGAACATATTCTCTTCGTTTTTCTTCCTCCGGCAATTTTTATTTTATTTCCCATTAGAACTTGAGCAAAGATCATTCTCGTACAGGACCAGGTGCTGTTTCATTTTTCTTTTTCTTCTTCATCTATCATCATCATTTTATGCACCAGAACACAGGTGAAGTCGGGAGACTGATTTCCCCAGTTGGTTCAAGAAACTTCAGTTACTTTTTTCCAACTTAAATATTAAACTGTTTCCATTGTTCTTATTGAGGTTACAATCGTTAGAAAGCCAGGCAATCTTTTCTTTTGTTGAAAAAGAACTTGTGTTGTAAAAGAAAATATGATTCATGCTATTCATTCTTTGCTGTTTTTATGAATAAATTTTCCATAGGGGAATTTGCAGCGTATTTAAAGGAAGAAAGATAAAATGGTTGGTCAACTTTTAGCCTCTAAGTACAAAAATAAGGAATGTCCATTTTTGTTTTAAAATTTGTTTTCCGCATGAGGTTCTTACTGAGCCAGCTTTCATATGTACCTCGCTTGAAGCTTGGAAATGGTGTTGATATCAGAAAATCAGACATATTAAGCAGAATTGCAGTGTGTGGTTGATCTTCTCATGGATCGACTCATCACATTACATTAATTTTTTTATCAATCCACGTGAGTTAATTAGGGAAATGGTTCAGTTTTTCTCTCCCGTTTAATGGCGAAACTCAAGTGTGATAATTCTTTAAAGGGTTGTGCCTCCAAATATTTTTGCTGAGTTCAGCTGTTTTCCATGTTCATCGTTTTATGCTACTGCCTTTTAAAAAGAACTAGTGTATCTTTGAAATAGCACAAAAATGTTTTAAAACTCATAATTATAAAACAACCTGTGACTAACTTAATGTCTTCACATCTAGAAGGTGTAAAAATATTGATATTTCAGTGATATTTCACTTGCTGCCAGAAAAAAATATTCTCAGTCTTTTGTAAAAGGAAGGAGGATTTTTGCATACATTTTTACTCTTTAAATAAAGACACTTATACGGTCATAATAACAATTATGTATTGCTTTGTGGTTTTTATTTTTTTTGTAATTTTACATGAAACAGTTATTTTCTATTTTTACTCAGATAAATATTTGTGCATAAAATGTAAAAATAGTAAAATGAGAAAAATAAAACTATTATACAGTATATTTCTGTGTTTTTGGAAGTTTTTTTCCTGTATAAAAAAAAGGCTCAAATTCCTGGGACATTGGGTTGGATGAAAATATTTCTACATCTGCTGTATTGTCCCATATACTTTACTTAAAAACTTACCAATTTGGGAAGAACAGATTCCGCTCAACTAAAATTAGATGTTAGAATTTAGTCTTTAAGAAAATAAATGAGGGGCTTCTGGGTGGCTCAGTTGAGCAGACTTTGGATTTTGGCTCAGGTCATGATCTCCCAAGAGTCTTGGGATTGATTCCCTCCAGGGACTCTGCACTCAGCAGGAAGTCCACTTGAAGTTCTCTCTCCCTCTCCCCTGCTCCTGTGTGCGCGCACGCGCTCTCTCTCTCTCTCTCTCTCTCTCATCTCTCAAAAAAAAAAAGAAATAAAATCCCATCCACAGAGCTAAACTCCTTCAGAATAGAATCAGAAGAAATGGTAACACTGAGTACTTCTCAAAAGGCAAGCCAGGGCGCCTGGGTGGCTTAGTGGGTTAAAGCCTCTGCCTTTGGCTCAGGCCCTGATCCCAGGGTCCTGGGATTGAGCCATGCATCGGGCTCTATGCTCCGCAGGGAGCCTGCTTCCTCCTCTCTCTCTGCCTATCTGTGATCTCTGTCTGTCAAATAAATAAATAAAATCTTTAACGGAAAAAAAAAGGCAAACCAAGGGCTGTCAAAGTAGAAATACTTAGTAAACCTTTTTCAACCTAAAAAAAAATGACCTGTTTATGTTTCCTGCATAACAACAGGGTGCTTCAGCTGGGACCAGAGTCTCTGGCATCAAAGGGGTTGGGGCGGGGGGTGGCTGGGGGTACTCTGTGTTATTTATGGTCAAGCAATGATCCAACTCTGATTGACATGCTTATAAAATTATGATTTGAATGAAACAAATGGTTTTAAAAACATAATTTTAAATTTAATTATAATTATAATTTTAAAAACATAATTTTATCTAGTTTGGAGTAATGAAAACAATCAGAAAATTAGGTATATTCATAATCCCAAAACACTGATTTTTTTGTGTATATGACTTTAAAGCTTAATTTGCAAGCTAAGCACATGTTTAAAAGGCTTTTACTACCAGTAAACTGATTTAAAACACTTAGACTGATTATAAAACCCATGTTGAAGGACCACTTTCTTACTACCAGTGTGTCACAGACTGAAACTAAAACAGCTGAATGAATAGGGCAGTGGCGGAAAATGGGGAGTTTAATAGGCATAGGGTTTCAGTTTTGCAAGATGAAAAATTTCTGGTTATTGATTACAAAACAATGAATATATTGAACTGTACACAATTAAACAAGGGTAAGACAGTAAATTTTATACATACTTTACCACAGTTTAGATGTTCTTAAAAAAATGAGTCACTAGGAGAATTTAAAAACTCAAAGTAAGTTGCCAAATTACACAATACAGGGAGACAAACCTGATCATCTGAATAGCTGTAGGAAAAGGATACAGTAAAATTTAACATCCATTCATGATTAAAGTTGGAAAAACTAGAATTAGAAGGGAACTTCCTTAACATGATAGAGTATCTGAAAAACCTGCAGCTAACATCATACGTAATAGTCTTGTCTTCCTTCTAGGATTTGGGGAAAGACAAAGATCTCTGCTGTCACCATTTCTATTCAATACTATATTGAAGATCCTAGCCTGTGAAATAAGGAAATTAGCATACATATTGTAAGAAAACTGCAGAAGACATCAATCTGAAAGAATAGTTTTGTTTGTTTGTTTGTTTGTTTGTTTGTTTGTTTTTTAAACTAGAATTGAGCCCCTGGGTGGCTCAGTCAGTTAACTGGCTGCCTTTGGCTCAGGCCAAGATCCCAGCCAGGGTCGTTCAAGATCCCAGCGTCCTGGGACTGAGCCCCCTCATCGGGCTTCCTGCTCACTGGGGAGTCTGCTTCTCCCTCTGCCTGCCTCTTCCCCTGCTTGTGCACGTGCTCTCTCTGTCAAATAAATAAAAATCCTTTAAAAAAAAAAAAACTAGAATTGACGAGTTTAGTAAAGTAAGGTACAAGGTCAATACACATAACTCATATTTCTACATGCTACCAAAAAATAATCGAAAATTGAAATTCAGAAGTAACCATTTACAATAGTATTAAAAAACATGAAATAATTAGGGACCAATACATCAAAATTTGTGCAAGACTTGTCCACCCAAGGGGCTCCTGGGTGGCTCAGTTTGTTAAGCCACTGCCTTCAGCTCAGGTCATGATCCTGGAGTCCCAGGATTGAGTCCTGCATCAGGCTCCCTGCTCTGTCAGGAGTCTGCTTTTCCCTCTGACCCTCCCCCTTCTCATGCTCTCTCTCATTCTCTCTCTTTCAAATAAATAAATAAAATCTTAAAAAAAAAAAAAAAAAAAAGACTTGTCCAATGAACCATAGAAATTGCTAAGAAATGAAAATCTGAGTGGAGAAGTATACCGTGATTGTGAATTGGAAGTCTTAAATTTGTA